TTGGTAAGAAACTTGCAAACTGTTTTCCAGAGTGGCTGTGCCATTTTGCATCCAAACCAGCAATACATGAGAGTTCCACTTCCTCCACATCCTAACCAGCTCTGGGGATTCATTAGTTTTTATTTTAGCCATTCTAACAGGTGTTTAATGGCATCTTATCATGGCATTTTCCCTAATAGTTAATGATGTTCAACATCAACATCTTTTTATGTGCTTATTTATCATCCTTAAATCCTCTCTGCTGAAGTCTGTTAAAATTCTCTTCCTTTTTTTTTGGTAATTGTGTTTTCCATTTACTCATTGTTGAATTTTCAGAATTCTTTATGTATCCTGGATCCAAGTTCTTGGTCAGATAATTTACAAATATATTCTGCCAGTCTGTAGTTTATCTTTTCATTCTCTTAACAATATCTTTCAGAGAAAAAAGTTTTACGTTTTTATAAAGAACAAGTTATCGTTTTTCTTCTATGGATTGTGCTTTTTTGTGTCATATCTAAGAACTCTTCCTCTAACTCAGTGGTTTTCAGCCATGGGTTACTTTGTCCCCTGAGAACATTCAGCAATATCTGGACACATTTCTGGCTGTCACAGCTTGGGGGGTGGGGGCGTGCTACTGGTATCTAATGGGTAAAGGCCAGGGATACTGCTAAATATCCTACAATGTAAAACTCCCACAACAAAGAATTATTATAAATATACAAATCAATTTGAGAAGTGACATTTTTACTCAGTTGACATTTCCATTCCATGAACACAATGTCTCTGAAATTTATATGATTTATTTCATCAGCATTTTGTAGTTTCTACCACACAGGTTTTGTGAATGTTTTATTAGATTTATAACTAAGCACTTCATCTTGGGGAGCTACTATAAATGGTATTTTAAAGTTTGAACTTCCTTGTGCATTGCCAGGATATAGAAATGTGATTGATTTTTGTGTGTGTTGATCTTGTGTTCTGTGACCTTGCTAAACAAACATATTTGTTCTAGGAGTTTTGTTGTAGGTTCTTTGCAATTTTCTACACATATAACCATGCCATCTGCAAAAAAATAAAAATAAAACATAAAAAATTCAGTTTTATTTCTTCCTTTGCAATCTGTATTCTTTTTATTTTTTTCTTGTCTCATTGTACTGGATACAACTTCTAGTATAATGTTAATAGGACTAATGAGAGTAGACATCCTTGCCTTTTTCCTAATGTTAGGGGAAAGTATTCAGTCTTTCACCATTAAATATGATATTACATGTAGATTTTTGGAGACAACCTTTATCAGGTTGAGAAAGTTTCCATATATTATGTTTCTTGATCATTTTTGTCATGGATGAATGTTGAATTTTGTCAGATGTTTTTTCTGCATCAGTTGATAAGTGGTTTTTCTTCTTTAAACAATGAATATAGTTGATATTCTGGACATTTCAAATATGACATTATAAAACTGGTTGCTTAATGTGTATGGAAAACATTTATATATTTGCTTTAGTGGTCAATCTGATTTTCAGGCCACATGTTCCCACCAGCCTTCCTTCCAAGGACTGATGGCCCAATGTCAGTTCAGTTTTCAAAGTCTTTGTAGAGTTATTCAGATCTGTCTGTGGTGTGTGTGTGTGTGTGTGTGTGTGTGTGTGTGTCACTAAGTGGTTAGTCTGGAACCAGATGTGCTGTATCATTTCCAGGACCTCTAAGTACTAAACCTTGTCTTTCAAAGCTTCCTGATGGTTATTGCCGAAGGTGTCTTGCAATCACTATAAGAAACACAAGGGCTGGTCCAGCCACAACATTGGTTATCAGTAGGCTGAGACCGCACAAAACACATGAATAGAAGATTTAATATGGTTAAGATGGCAATACTCCCCAAACTGACCTACAAATTCAATGCAATCTCTATCAAAATCCAGCTTTCTTTTCAGAAATTGACAAGCTGATGCTAAAAGTCATATAGAAATGTGAGGGATCCAGAATAGCCAAAACAATCTTGAAAAAGAGGAACAAGGTTGGAGAACTCACATTTCCTGATTTCAAACCTGAATACTAAGCTACAGTAGTCAAAGTGGTACGTTACTAGCATAAGGATACACATACGTAAATGGAATAGAATTGAGAGTCCCGAAATAAGCTATCACATTTACAGTCAATTAATTTTCAACAAGGGCACCAAGATTTTTTCAACAAATGGTACTGGGGCAACTGGATATCTACATGCACCATATATAAAAATTAATTCAAAATAGATTTAAGGCATAAATGTAAGAGCTAAAACTATAAAACTACCAGAATAAAACATGGGGATAAATTTTCATGACCTTGGATTAGGCACTGGTTTCTTAGACATGACACAAAAGCAAAACTATCCAAAACATACACTGGACTTCAAATTAAAAACTTTTATGCTTCAAATATCATTTAGCAAGAAAGTGAAAAGACAGTCCATAGAATCAAAGAAAATATTTGCAATCACATATATGATCCAGAATATATGAAGAACTCTTACCACTCAGTAATAAAGAAAATGACCCAATTAAAAATTGACAGAGAGGTTTGAATTGACATTTCTCCAAAGAGGACATACAAATTGCCAGCAGGTACATAAAAAGATGCTCAACATCACTAATCATCAGGGAAATGCAAATCAAAACCACAATAAGATACCACTTCACACCCACATGGATGGCTATAATTTAAAGATAAATAATAACAAATGTTAGAGAAGATGTGGAGAAATTGGAACCCTCATATGTAGGTGGTGGGAATATAAAATAGTGCATGATCCAGCAATTCCACTCATGAGTATATACACAAGAGGAACGAAACATGTACACACAAAACCTGTACATGAATATTCATAGCAGAATTATTAATAATGGCCAAAAGGTAGAAACTATCCAAATTTCCATCAACTGATGACTGAATAAACAAAATGTGGCATATCCATTCAATGGAATATTATTCAGCAATAAAAGGAAATGAAGTACGACACTTGCTATAACAGAAAAACCTGGAAAACATTATGCTAAGCAAAAGAAACAAAACACAAAATGCCACACACTGCATGATTCCATTTCTATGTAATGTCTAGAACAGACAAATCTATAGAGACAGAAAGTAAATTAATGGTTGCCTAGGGCTGGGAAGTGGGGTTATAGGGTGGAATGGGGATTGGCTGCTAATGGGTATGGGTGTGCTTTGGGGGTAATAAAAATGTTTCAAAATTAGATTGTGGCAATAGATGTACAACTCTGACTATACTAAAAAGTATTGTATACTTTAAATGGATGCATTGTATGATACGTGAATTATAGCCCAATAAAACTGTTAAAAGTCTATAAGGTTACAAAGAAAATCAGTTATATTGAACTAGGGTCACCAAAATATAAAAACAAATTCTTGATAAGGGAATAGATGTGCTTCTTTAATAAGGCATTAAATAACAAGATAAAGGTCTAAGAGCTCTCTTGATTTTGAAGTAGTGATCAATGTAAAATAAATCTGAGACATGTGCAACAACGAAAATGATTTATGCTTCCATTAGCACCTCTAAAGAACAGAGTTGGAATAAAGGGGAGAAATAATTGAATCTGATGAAGCTCCAGAACCAAAAAGCAGGTACAATACACTTCTTTTTAATGGGGCTAGAGATTTTCAAGATGGATTCTAGTCCAGTGCTTTTAGCACATTTATGTAATGTTGGCTGTGCCCGCTCGATCACTATCAAGCAGCTTGGACCTCTCTGACTGTACCCTTTTAGTTATCTTGCAAAGCTGTGGAATGCGGAATGAAGAAACCTAATGATATCTGGTCACCAAGGCAAAGCAAGTTGGGAGGGAAAATGGGATATTGACACAAAAGGTAAGAAAGCACTAGGACATTTAAGAGCATGGCATATTATTATTATTATTTTTTTTTTAGCTGAGCCATCCTGCCACCTGTTGGCAACTCAAGAGCATGGCATGTTTTCCCTCCTGTCCCAAACCCTTCAGAAAAGGTGATATGACCAAACTAGCATGGGGAGTCTGGGGTAAGAATTGGGGAGGCCTTTTCCCCATATCTTTTCCATTGACTGCCCACTTCACCAGATATTACCCCGTGGACTGATATTCAAAATATTTGGCAAGTAGAAAAAATATATATTTGGCAAGTGGTAACAAATGGCCACAGGCCAATCAGAACAGTTGCCAGCCACAGTACTGGAATAGAGCCCCAGAGGTATACTGCTATGACAGACATTACTTGCTTCAGTGGCTAGATTATGGGGAGGTCCCAGAGGTCTTAAAAGCAAAATTAAGGCAGTGTCTCTTCATCAACTGGCACAGAGGATGTTCAACGCTTCTGGGAACAACTGATAGCTGTACCAGAATCATCACCCCAAAGACTATATATATGTAAAACCTCCTTAAGGCTTTATGAGTGAAAGATTGAGCGAATGGTCGATGCTTGTATTCACGGCATGCCTCACTGATTTTCCAGGCGGAAATTTCTCCTCTTGATGGAAGATAAAGACCGAGAGAGTACAGCATGCCACTCCAAGCTGTTTTTTCAAATTTAGACTCTAGAACGCTGCCCAACTATGCAAGTAGGGCTACATTTGGGTGAAAATCCCGATCCCCACCTTTTCTTCATCTAGGAAGAAGCAAAGAAAGCAAACAACCTGAGATAGGGACCAAAGGGTACTGGTTCAGATCTGAACAATGGGGCCTGTCTGTCAGGTAGAGGTCACTCTCCATGGACTGGGCACCTCCCAAACCGCACGTCCTCCAAAGAAACCTCTTTCTACAGACACATCCATCAATTCATACCTACCTCAATGCCTCTTCCGGGCAAGAGAAAGCTTCCAAGCAGAAAAGGAAACCAGATAAGCCAGACACTGAGGAACAGCCTTTATTAGGCAGGAAAAAAAAAGTCCTCGGGCTATGCATGGGGTTCCTGGGCAAAAAGACGGGAGGTGAGCCATTTTGAACAACAAATATTCTTTTTTTATTAGTTTTCGAAACAAATACAACCTTTTTTTTTCTTTCATAAACGACTTAAATATTTATAACATTAACAGTTTGGGAAAAGTCAAACAAAGACAGTAAACATGAAGAAAAGTGAAAAAAAGAAAATAAATTCAAGGACAGAATAAATATAGCCTCTTTAATTTAAATGCGTGCCTGGCCTTGATGACTGCTGCCAGAGTTCCAGGCACTCAGTCTCAGAAGTGGCAGGAGCTCACAATCTCCTCCAGCTCCAACGTGCCAACGGGGGGGATTTTGGTCACTTCAAAGAAGACCCTGCAAAAGGAAGAGGTGTGTGCTCAGTGTAAAATAGGCCAAAGCAAGCAGTCTGCAAGGAATAAGTGGGACCTAAGGCCCTTGGTTCCTTATCTTGCTTTAACCCTAGAGCAGAAAATAAGGGGGTAAGTACCTGAATCTTTCTTTTCCTTTAAGTGAAGCTAGTCTGGGCCTCCCCATGACTGATCACAAACCCAACTTTAACTGGAGCTTGGCACTTACTGGTGAGAATACTTGGAATGCACAGCCTTGAGCTTATTGCAAGAACGTGAAGTCAGCATGTTGTTCAGCTGCTTGACCAAGGGGTGAAGATCAGAGGTCTTGTAGCCACTGTGATGCTCCAAGGTGGGAGCCTGGGAGAAGCAACATGAATAGAGACTTTTACAACAGGAAGCAGGCCCTTCCTCTGTCTCTACTATCCCAAATCCAAACTTCCTATCCATGGTATGGAAAGGGAAGTCAGTCAAAAACATTTCAGCCTCATGTGGCACACACACTGACCGACAATTATATGGTACTACCTAGAATAGGTTTCAGCCACAAATGAGTGGTATGGCTATATCCACACGGACCAGTTGAGTGTTAGCCCTGGCCATAGGTACTCAGGTATGCTGAAATCCACCTACGGCACAGGACTAACTTTGTAATTTACTCACTCTCAGGTCAAAAGCCAATGGCCAGGAAAACCTCAGAACAAACTGGAGGGCCCAACTCAACATCCAACAGTAACTTAAGGCTGTTCCTCCTCTCTGGCTCTAATGGCTATCACTCCATGCATTCATTTTCTCATTCAAGTTCAAGGATGCCTGTTCTGTGGCAGAAGTAAAATAGCAGAGTATTTAAGAGCAAATGTTCTGGAGGCAAACTGCTTGGGTTCAAATTTCAGTTTCACTAACAGCATGGCCTTGAGCCAGTTATTTATTAACTTATTGGTGCCTCAGTTTCTCAATCTGCCAAATGGGGATCATTACAGTAATTAAATTATAGGGTTAAATGAGTTACTATATACAAAGCACATGGAAAAGAGTCCAGTACAGTTAAGTGCCTAAAAAATGCTAGCTAGGATTAATGCTATTACCAAGCTGTGTATAGGATGCAGGGACTATACAGATGACTAAAGCCCTGCCTTTGAGGAGTCTGTAGTGTAGTGGGGGAGACAGATGTGCACACAGAGAATTAGAAAATGTGTGGGAAGTGCTATGATGGAAGTGAGCCTGGAGCACTAGGGGAGCAGGGCAGCAGGACCCATGAATTTTGGCCAGCAGTCACAGAAAGCTTCACAGAGGAAGGCACATCTGCAATGAATGTCGAAAGTGAAGTGGCAGCTCCACAGGTAGAGAAAGGAAGATTTATTCTATAAGGCAGTGGTTTTCTAAAAAAATCTTAAATTATTTTCCCTGAGCTCCTTTTTTAAAAACATTTTACCCGGAAGCCCAAATATCTTACCTGGAATTGGGGGTGAGGGCTAAGGCCACCAATTTGGATCCCTTTCCCTTTTACATGGCCCAGGGACCCTTCTGCAGGAATCCCAGGGCTCTACTGAATAATGTTTGGAAGCCACTGTCACGGGCAAAGGGTAGTCGTTGGCATGCTGAGCAGGGGACTAACACAGTACAGGCGGTGTGTTAAATAAGGTCATGGCCCATTGACACTGCAGTGATTTGGGCCCCAATGCTTTACCTTGAATATTACCAAAGCTTACTCTCTGGTGTTGCCACTTTTACACTCTCTCATCTAGTATACTTCCGTCACTGCTATACCAGTACTGTTTCCAAAACACACTAACCAGAGCATGTCACTCCCCTGCCTAGAAAACTTCCGATGCCTTAGTAGAAAATGGGTCTCTCAGCATGGCATCAAAGGGCTCTTACAATCTGACCGCATCCTTCGATTCTGGTCTCATCTCTGACCGTTCTTTTATTCATATAGCCTCTGCTCTATCCATAGGAAATGTCTTCTTCTGCCCCAAATACATCACACTCTTTTCCTTCTGCCTTCATACCTTTTCTAGTTATTGTTCCCTCTACCTAGACTGTCTCCTCTCACAGGTTCCTTTCAAGACTCAACTCAAAAGTCACCTCCCCAGTGAAGCCTTTCTTATCATCTATAGAAGCAGGATATATAGCATAGAGGACTATGGAGCTGTACTATCAGGGTTCAGATTAGGGCTGACATTTAGCTGATACTCACTGGTACAGCCATGCCAAGTGTTAAAACATTGAAATATTTCTATACTGGTTGGTAAGCAGTTTGCTGCCATGAGCCCCTCAATTGTCCCCCTCAGGGCCTACCAGACTTCCCCAGGATCTGAGGGTCAAAGCTGGGTTCAGCACTGGGCCTCCAGGACCATGGCTCTGGGGCTATGGCCACACCCATTCTGATTATACAGTACTGAATATGCATAACCCCAGGCTGTGCCTCTCATTAGCAGAACATGGGAAGTTATTTCTTATCTGTAAAATAGGGATAATACTGATCTTGTAGGGTTCTTGGGAAGATTAAACAAAGTGCTGAAATCACTATTTAAGCACTCAACCTATATAAACGTAACTGTTTATAGGGTTTTTCTCAACACAGAGGCTTTCCCATCTGTTGCTGTTTTCCCATCTACTTGCTCTAGGATTTGTAGGTTGGGGGAGGGGGAGCTTAGGAGTGGCTGGGAAGAGTACGCTGACTTGCAAGCATACTTTCTGTACTTGGATTGCGTGTTACATATCAGTAAAAATTAAGTTCTCTCAAGTTGCTTTTATTCACAATTTTCCATAAAACTGAGAAACCATCAAATACGGGTTTTATTTCTTTTGGGGAAGGAAGCTCGGTGAGCCTCCCTCTTCAGAGAAGAGCACTAGAGTGTATCTGTGAGTCCCCTGTTACAGACATGGATAGTTGCTTTCACTACTCTGTTGTCTGGGACAGTGCCTTTCAAACCCCGTTCCAACAAGATCCTTCAGGGGGCAACCTAGCGGAGGGGACTACGAAGGGCAGAGGTGAAATGGGATCAGGTAAGAACTGGGCCCATCCTACCTACCCCCTGCTGCAATCAGAATAATTTCACATTAGTCGGTTTTGCAATATCAGGCTTTCAGGTAAGTGTTCTTTGGACTAAGAAAAATGAAATAAAATTCTGGAAAACAATTGCTGTTGAGACACTTTAGGCAGCTGGGTTCCTACTATGTCGAGATGTCAAAGAACCTGTAACTATGGGTATCCGGCAGTGTTGTCACCGAATCTCCCACAGCCCTAATATACGCCTTCCTCCTGAGCCCACCCTGTGCTTCGGAATCCCTACCCCCTGCCCCGGGGCAAGTTTACCCAGTGTCCGAGCTTCTTCATGTAGAGGGCCAGGAGGAAGCAGCCAGCAGCTAGCCTGGAAGCCCTCTCATGGATATAGTCGTATTCCTGCAGGGTCATCTCGCAGATGAAGCGGGACAAGGTCAGTGTGTTCATGTTGGCACAGAGACACTAAAGACAGCAAGAAGACTAGCTCAGCAAGCAGTTGAGAACGCCAGCACCAAGCAGAAGACTCCCTAGACCCACTCTCTCCAGTTATCCCACCTCAGGCCTAAATGGCTTTCTGCCTGACCCCGGGCAACTTTGCACCTGGTTCCACCCTAGGGAGTGTTCCATGCTCCAAAAGAACTCCTTCCCCTTTCTTGTTTGTCTTTTTTTAACAATTATAACCTCTAGCACATGCATACAGGAAATGAAGGTAACACCCACTTGTAGAATACAATGAGGAATGATAAAGTGATGCCTCCAGTAACCAATACTCAGGTGAAGGAAGAGAACTTTGCCAGCATCTACCCCAAAACGTTCCCCTGTGTCCCTTCCTGATCAAAGAACCTTCTCTCCCTCCCCTACTCTGCCCTCGCTTCAAAACTTTATAAGCACACTGTGGAAACCTGTACTTTTCTTCCTCCCACACTTCATAAAGATTGCCATTCTAAGAGGGTGGACTGAAGAAGAAATTCCCCTACCCCCAATTGTCCCTTTCCCTTTCCCTACCATTCAGGCAGCCACTCTGGGTATGGAGGGGATTAGCCCAGCCGTGGGAGAACGGAGATGTGCCTCCTGTATCTTACCACAGCATATCTACGCAGAAAATGATAGGCTACAGGAATGTTGATATCAAAGTTGAGGGTTTGCAGGATGCTAATTTCCATGGCGAGCATCTCCTTTCGCTGATAAATATCATCGCAGATGTACAGGAAGTCATCCACACAAGGTGGGTAGGGCTCCTACAGGTGGAGAGGGGAGGCAGTCACAACCAGGCAAAGACAGTCCGCTCCTATCTGCTTGTAGATGAAAGGCAGAGGGGCAGAGGGGTGAAGGATAGGAGGCAATAACATTTCCTGGCATCAACATTCAGGTCAACCCTGAGAGCCAGCTTCAGGTTGATTTGAGTGGCTCATCTGCAAAACAAAATCTGAAAGACAGGAGAGATCTGCCTCAAAAGTGAACCACTGGAGAAAGAATGCAGCCTCTTAGGGTGGATTCTTACAGCCTTGGAAGCGTAATATGGCACAAGGCCTGGGATCAGTGATCAGCCTTCTAATGAGTGAGAGCCAGGAAAAGGAAATCTAAGGCCTGTTCTGGGGGCAAGGGAGGAAGGAGACCACACAAAGGGGAACTACAGACGGGAAATAAGCCTTCACTTTGTGTCCTATTCTAAGGAATAAATAAGGATGATTGGGAGGGGGCACTGCCGGGGAAAACAGGCAGTGAGAGAGAGGTAGCCAGGCACAGAGGGAGCCTACCGTATTTGCAGGCATATAAGACGACTGGGCGTATAAGACGACCCCCTAACATTTCCACTCAAAATACAGAGTTTGTTATATGGGCAGTCTATCTGAAGTGTACCTGGCGTATAAGACGACCCCCCACTTGGAGGCATATTTTTCAGGGCCAAAAAATCGTCTTATACGCCGGCAAATACGGTAAGTCAAGACTGAGGCCTGCAGGGGTTGGGAGGATGTGTATGGGGGCTAGACTGGGAAGATCCAGCCCAGGTCAAGGGTAAGAAAGAAGCCCTGTCTGGGAGCACCTTACTATGCCCCGCCCTCTGCAGGCTGAACACTGGTTTTGGGGAGAGGAGTGGGAGGCAGGAAGAGCCCTGAAGCGTTTCTCTAACTCCATCCGCATGCCCACCCCAGCCTTCTTCCCACACCTTTCTATTTTCAGATCACAAATTGGACCAACCTTCTGGTTTCTCAGACAAGGAAATTGAGACCCGGAGAGAGGAAGTGACTTGTTCAAGTTCACACAGCAACCTAGTGGTTAAGACCAGGTCAAGAAACTCTCCTTTCCATTGCTCTATTAACCGCTGGCCCCTTCCTTTCCTTCCTTCTCATACCATCTCCACACCTCCCCTTGCAAAAGTCTTTCTGCACTTCTCAATCATGTGAAGGGAAAACACCTCTTCTCCAAAAAACTTAGTGGGGGCCCTTGGTTCTGGCAACCAAAACAGGGGTGCTCCTGGTTCCAAGATTTGCTAAGAAGTGTGCTCTCCTCCTCCCTCCTGCACTCTAGGGACCCCAGCTGCTTTTTTAACCCCCATGAGGTTGAGGCATAAAGTATTTGTTCAAGTCATAAGAATGGTACTAGGTAGGGAAAGGGAGGAGGAAAAGGAGGGAGGGAAGGAGTGGAAGGGGGGGGCGGACATGGGACACAGGGAAAGAACCAGGGTGTGAGTGAGCAGGGGAGGAAATGTGCCAGAGAGGGAAACAGTAAGGGAGGGAGCAAGGGTGGGAATGAGGGGAGGGGCGCGGAGAGACAGAGAACAGGAAGGAGGAGGCTAGGAAGCAAGGGAGGAAAGGAGGATGGAAGAGGAAAGGAGGATGGGTGGGAGGGAATGAACAAGGAAGCAAGCAGGAGAGGGAGCTATCAGAGAAGGTACAGAGAGGAAGCAGGGAGGAAGGGGAGAAAGGGAACCAGGGAGCAAGTAGGAAAGGAAGTGAGCCAGAGAGGGAAACAGTAAGGGAGAGAGCAAAGGAGGGAGGGAGGGAGGAAGGAAGGGAGGGAGGGAGACTAGGAATCGAGGGTGGGAGGTTGGAAAGGAAGGGAAGAGAGAGAAGAAATTAGCAGAAAAGTGGGGAGGAGGGAGGAAAGGGGGAATCAAAGGAGTGGGAGGGAGCAAGGCATAAGAGAAGCAAAGTGGCGGGGGTGGGGGGGTGACAAACAAGGGAGAGAGGGTGGGATGGAGGGGAGAGAGTTAGCAAGAAAAGAAGAGAGTAAACAAGGAAAGGGGAGAGAAAGGGAGGGAGGGAAGGCGGGAGGAAGATGGAATGGGATGGAGCAAGGGAGGGGATGGTGGGTGGGAAGGCAGCGCGGAAGGAGACAGAGTAGTGAGGGATGGAACGAAGTTGGAAGGAAGGGAAGGAGGGAGAAGGGAGGAAACTAATGAGCGCGAGGGGGATGGAGCAGGGGATAGAACGAGGGAGTGAATGAAGAGGTAAGGAAGTGAGCAAGAGAGAGCCAGAAAGGGAAAGAGCCACAGGGAGAAGGAGCCCACTATGGAGTGAGCCAGTACACAAAGCAGGGAGAGAGGGATTAAGGGATGGATGGATTGAGAGAAGGCCGGAGGGAGGACAGTTGCTAGGGAATGAGGGCAGAAGTGAAGCAAAGGCAAGGGTGGCAAGGGAGGAAAGGAGGGAGGCCTGGAGATAGGGAGGGAGGTACTGACCAAGGTAGGGAGTGAATGGGCAAATGAGGAAGACAGGAAGCCAGTTAGGGATAGAGCTGGGGAAGGAGGGAGCATAAACACAAACCCACAGTTCTAAAGCTCTTTGAACTCAGTGAAAGTGGCTACCTCTCTGCTCCTAAACCCTAAGATTTCATACAATTCGCCCAGGGGTCGGCAAACTGCGGCTTGCGAGCCACATGCGGCTCTTTGGGTACGTTCCGTCTCAAAAGTTTGCCGACCCCTGGAAGAGCCAATCCTGTCCCTCACAACAATTTAAAAATTATTCGAGAGCCATAAATATATTTTTACATAATCACCATTATGTGAATAATACCCTTTAAAATTTTTATAAATGAAACTATGATAGTTTTATTTTCATTTTCAATTTTACTTCAGAGCCACAGTTTTTGAGCCGCAGTTTGCTGACCCCTGGCCGCTCTTCCATCTCAAAAGTTTGCCGACCCCTGAACGAGGCTATCTGAAGGAAAAAATGAGTTAAACAAGATCATTTAGCATCTAAAAAAGAAGAAAAATTCAAAGAAATTAGTTAGATGGATTATGATTATGAAGGAAAGACCAGCTACTTATTCTTATACTGCCACTTCAAAAATAACTGTTTCACCTGGACTCATTATCATGTACGCCAGCCCATTTCTCTTAAGTGTCTCCAGCACCCAGGTTTGAAAATGCTTTCTTATATATGCAGTTCTACATTCCACTAGATGGAGATGGATTGGTGAAAAAAGAAAAGAGTGGAGTGCAGAGAATCACCAAAAGGAAGCTTTAACACTTTTGCCATGACAGTCAGATATATCCGAATGAATATTTCTATCCGCTGACTGCAGATGAAAACTTCAGAGAGGAAGTTTAGGAAAGCAGATGTACATTTTTCTGTTTTTGTGTTTTTCAAGAATGAACAATAGGAAAATTTTATACATAAAAATAATGTGATTTTGGGCCAGCAGAGTGGCTCAGTTGGTTAAGAGCTTGCTCAAGGGTTTGAGCTCTGAGCAACAGCGGTTCGAGTCCGGCCCGAGCTGAGCTGCCACTGAGCTGCCAACAGGTGGCAGGATGGCTCAGCTAAAACAAAAATAATAATGTGATTTATATACAAAGCAGCTCAAATTGTTACTAACTGCATAAAATAGACAAAATATCAACTTTTTGTTTTTTTTGTGGATTTCTGACACATTTTGAAAATAAAAACTTGAAATAAATTAATGCAGTGAACTAAAAAGAATGATCCATTTAATTAGGCACATGCCCACATATACACATGTTAAGAGGAAATGGAAGAATCTAGCTAATGCTAAGAAACAAATTTACCACCATCGCCACCTAATACCAGTTTCTCTGCTGGGGAAGACATGTGAAAAATTGGTAGGAAAAACTTTGAGTGTGTGTGTATATAATTGTAAACACATATGCAGGTACGAATATATGCAAATGTATATAAACACGTGTATAAATGTATATAATACATATACGGTATACATGTATATATAAATATACACGACTACATATACACACACATACTTGTACATAGACATATATATGTATTTGGCTTGGACAGAAATCTGATTGATGAGTCCTTTCCAGGTCCTGTGGACTCAGCCTCACCTCAAATTTTGCTGCAATCAGAAAAGCAGTGGAACCAATGAGTTGTAGCTTGTCCCTCTTGCATATTACCTCCGTAAGGTAGTGGTCCACCAGTTTCACTGCCAAGTAGAGGGTCTCGTGACTCACCTCAAAGGTCGTCTGGAGGAATACACAAACAAGAGCAGCAATCTGTATATTGTCCAGCTCCAAAATCACATCCAGATAAATCTAACTACCTGATCTGCAGCACTGAGAAAAGCGGAGCTACTAGACCTGGCCAGGTGAGATTCTGCTATTAATGTGGGAGCTACTTCAGGTAGGTGCCTGACTATATGTCCGGTGCCCTTGAGGACTCTGGCAGTAATCTATCCCTACACATCTGGGTGGGTGACCAGTCTTACAAATCAGAGAGAAAAGCTCTGCCTTCTTTATGAACGCCTTGAGTGAATACCCTCTCCCTTTGATCTCCAATACATGCTTAGATTCTTACTTTCCCCATTTGCTATTACCTTATACAGCAAACTTCCAAAAGAGATCATATTTATTTACCTCTGAAATACAGAGACTTGTTTGTTTATTAGTTTATTCATCCATTAGTTTCTCTTCCAAACTAGCTATGCTATTAGAATGTCTGGACTGGGAACAAGCACCAATAGCACCATTTGGAAGTGAGCTAAGGGGCTGGAGAAGCCATAATGAGACTGAAGCATTAGTAGTATAACCCTCCTTCCCTTCTTTCATTCATCTTTGTCTTGCCTTCACCAATTCCAAGAAACCAGTTCCTATAGCAATCGTCCCCAAGTTAGTGCTGGCCTAGATGGCATCTTTGTGAAAATTAAAGAAAAGATGCCTTCTGTGGGTGAATGCCACCCTGAAGGCACACATCTTATCAAGTAGACAGTACCTTTATATGAATTAGCAAAAGGTGCCCCTGTCTCAGGGCATAACAGCCCCACAACCAGAATGCAGCTTGGCGAACAGAGTATGAGCTGGATTCCATTGCCCGCTTTTGCTTTGGCTGGAGGCAGTGTGTAGGCAAATATGCACTGTACACAGGGGTCCTACCTAATCCTCAGTGATGCTTCTTCCTCACAACCCTTAGGGTCTTAGGATTCGAGAACCATAAAATCTATATCAGTCCAACACCTCAACCAATGCTTGAATCCTCTCTTTAATGTCTCCACCAAATAAGTTGTTCAGTTCCTGCCACAGAACCTCCTAACACAGCCCCCTCTTTCAATAGTTTTAACAGAAAATTATTCCTTTATAAAACAAATTATTCTAAAAAATAGACTGAAAAGTGCCAAAATAGGGGTTATGAACATGGAGCTATGTGAATTAAGAGGAAGGAGAACTTACTTACTGCTGGTTATAGAGCTAGGGAATACTTTGTAAAGAAAGCACATTGTAGCTGGGCTTTTTAGGACAGATACAGTAAAACACTTGTAAATTAGGAGGGAATCAAGTATACTTAAACTTGGAAAGAATCAAGTACAGAAAATTTTATTTATAGAATTTTCTAAAAAACATGATGTTATAAAAACATTATATTTTTCTGGGAACTAACATTAAGTCCCATTTGATTCACTCTAGAGATAAAATAAATACATGTGAAAATGTTATAAATGAAATAGATATGGGTATTTTCATTCTTCTTAGATAATATCATCATGGAGATGTAAAGTATAGCATAGGGAATTTGGTCAATATTTTGTAATAACTATGTATGGTGTCAGATGAGTCCAGTACTAGATTTATCAGGGTGATCATTTTGTTAAGTTATATAAATGTCTAATCACTAAGTTATACACCTGAAACTAATATAATATTGTATGTCAACTGTATTTGAAAAACAGAACCATATGATTTCACTCATAAGTGGGATATAAAACTGAAAGCAACAAACGAAAATGACAAACAAACAAACAAAAACTCATAGTCACAGACAACCGTTTAGTGGTTACCAGAGGGTAATGGGGGAGCAGAGTTGATAGATGAGGGTAAAGGGGAGTAAATATACGTGATGGAAGGAGAACGCACTGTGGGTAGTGAACACACAATGTGATATACAGACCATGTATTACAGAATTGTACACTTGAAATCTATATAATTTTACTAACCAACATTACCACAAAAAATTTCATAACAATTATAAAAAAAAAACAAGAGCAGGGATCTTCAACAATGAGAATAAGAAAGAAAAGAAACATCTCCTGAGATCATCTCAGCCCTTACTGGGCTTCCTTGCTCAACAAAGAAATCTTCTGTACTAAATAAATTTCTTGGCTGTCCTATGGAAAATGTGCTTATTTTTTAATTTAATTTTCAGATATTAATGTGCTTAATACAAGTATTTTGCAAATCAAAAAAATTTTAAAACAAAACTTTATGAAATTTTGTGAGCTGTGATTAAACATTATAAACTTAGTTAAATAAATTATATTTAAAAAACAACACACAGAAAAGAATGAGACTTCTTAGATATATATTGGCAATATATCTAAAAATTTAATCTCATTACCAATTTTATCAAGCTGTCAAAAATAATTCATATTTTTTTCTTTCAGAATCTGGAAGGACCATATACAGAAGCATGCTAGCTGTCTTGAGGAGAAACCTTTATGCAATTGTTTGAATTTCTAGCTGCACTATCCACTTTTTTTTTCATGAAACACAATTTTTACTTCAGGGAATGACTAACAATGAGGCTATAATTATTCACATGTGGTTTATGTGGAAGGTATATTCTCAAAAATTAACAGTGAACCTTTCATTTCAAAGAGAAACAGTTGATAATATTTTAGCCATTGATTAAATTTAAGCTTTCAAGAAAAATTAGAATTTTGGAAAACTTGCACGTTACCATGGCTGTGATAGCTTCCCCTACATAAAGGCTTTTCTGATGAGACCAGTGGGGATACTAACATTTTCTTGATATTGTGTAATGAAATTTATTAAATTTGGGGGTTCTGCCTAATTCTGTGAACACTTTTTTTTCAAATGACCAATGTGTGGTACATAAAATCATGCAGGACCAAAAGTCCATCCCAAGTGAAAGATAGTAACAGATTACAAAAATTACACTGAGAATTTCAAATTCTAAATTTCTAGTAATCTTTAAGAAAATACTAGTGTCCAGTTTTTGTATAGTATCAGAAAAGAATATTTAGTTATCTAAAAACACTATTAAATCACTTCTGCATTTTCCAACTACAAATCTGCATAAGCCTAGATTTTCTTCATTCTTCAAAGCAATTATGTCAAAATAATGAATGCAGAATTTGATAGAAGAATCCAACTGTCTTCTAGTAAACCATTACTCTGCTATTTTTGTTTCAGAAAGGTTATTTTTCATAATATACTCTCTATATATGAACATACAATGGGTCTGCTATGATTTTAAATGAATTCATATAATAATGTTTAAAAATTTGCAGATTTAATTTCTAATACAGCAATTATTGATAGATATAACTCACATAATGCAAAGTTCTTTGGGGTCTATCTCAAGAAGTGTGTGAACTGATAGTTCAGATTATTTTAATTATATTTCGGAATGCACAGATTGCCACTTCAAATTTTTCTTCACCATGGTATGCATTTTCTTAACTTCTAATTAATAATAACTAATGGAGGTATCTCTTGATTTCTACTAAATTAAACCAACACAAGATACTGCAGATTGTAATCTAAGGCATTATAACCAAACTATTCTCATTTGCAGATTGGAACATTGTAAAAGAAATGCTTTGGTAGAAGTCATATTATTTGTCTATATTACTAGAGCAAAAGCTAAATAGCAAAAATTCGGAACAAGGGCAATAAAGCATAGAGAGTTTTGAACATATTATCCTGTGAATTTTCCTGTTGAAATTTAGGCAAATATTATTATTATTACTTACTTAACACAGACAAAAACCAATGGTACGAAAAGAAATGAAACTGGTAATACACTTTAAACATTTTGCTAAAATATTGAAAAGGATCAGTCTTTGTGATTTTTAGTTGCACTTAGTACAGCATATTCAAAGGAAAAGGCTATGTACCAAAAAAGTTTATGTCATAAAAGAGATTAAAAACAAGAGTTTTGCAAGGTCATGAAATGGATGACAATTTTTTTAAATGAAAAGTTAACAAAACTCTTCCCCTTCCCTAGCACTAAAAGGCAACAATACAATGTAAATTTCCAATGTGAATAAGAAAATCATGTCTGACTTATTTCACTTAGTATTATAATCTCAAGATCCATCCATGTTGTCGCAAATGGCACTATTTCATCTTTTCTGATGGCAGAATAGCATTCCATTGTTTACACCTGAAATCTATGTAACTTTCCTAACAATTGTCACCCCAATAAACTTTAATTAAAAAAAAGAAGAAAATCATGTCCAAACTCAGATTAATAAGCACTTGGGTCTTTGATACAGGATGCCATGCATAAGCTAGTCAAATATAGTACCAGTCTTTGGGGACCCGCTAACTCACAATTCTCTAAGGTGACAGAAAAATAAAATTGCTGGAAGAAATAAAACTTTTCCCATCTACAAATGACATAACTGTTTATGTATATAACTTCAATAAGTCTACAACAAAAAACCTAAAAATTAATAAGTGAGTTTTAGCAAGGTTATAGAACACAAGGTCAAAACATGAATAGCAATATTTCATACTGGCACTAAAAATGGAAACCTAAATTTTAAAACATACCATTCATAGTAGCTCCAAGAAAATATTTTGCTATAAATCTAACAAAAGATGTACAGAATCTGTATGGTAAAAAAAATCAAAGAAAGCCTAAAGAAATGAGAAACATACTACATTCGTGGGTTGGAAGATTTAACATAGAAAAAATGTCAATTCTATTCAACTCTACCTATTAATGTGTGTTTGGGGTCCCCAAAATCACATGCCTAGGAGGACTCACGGGACTTGGGATACAGTCATAATCTTGGCTATGATTTATTATAGCAAAAGATACAAAGCAAAATCAGCACAGAGAAAAGAAGCATTAGCAAAGTTTGGTGAAAACCAGAAGCAAGCTTCCAAGAGTCCTGTCCCAGGAAAGTCGCTCAGGATGCACTTAATTCCTCCAGTGATGAGATGTGACAATGTGCATACAGTGCTGTCTACCAGAAAAGCTCATTAATGACTCGGTGCCTAAGATTTTATTGCAAGCTGGTCACGTAAACACTCTCTGCTTAGCATGTACCAAAATTCCAGACTCCCAGAAGGGAAGCAGGTGTTCAGAATAAACCATTGTTTGCACAAAGACTTTAGGGACAGTTATCATTAAGGGAGGGTTTTATAGCAGTGTAGGGAACTGTTTACCAGTCAAGTTCCCAGATGCCAGCCAAGGGCCACTTTGCAAACAGACCTTCTAAGGATAGCAGCATTAGGCCCGTTATGGGAACTATTTTCTGCACAAAATGTCACTCAATTCTAATCAAACTCTCCGCAGAATTTTTTATAGATACAGACAAACTAATTCTAAAATGTATATAGAAAGGCAAATAAATTACAATAACTAAAACAATTTTGGAAAAAGACATAATAGAGTTGAAAGAATCATGCTACCTACTTTTAAGACTTACTATAAAGCTACAGAAATAAAGGCAGGATGGTATTGGCAAGGGATAGACACGGAGATCAGTGAAATAAAATATAGAAATTAGTACAGAAATAGATCCACACAAATAAGGCCAACTGATTTTTGGCAAAGGTGCAAAAGCAATTTAGTAGAGAAAGTATATTTTTCCACAGTTTTAGAACAATTGGAAATCCACATGCAAAAAACAATGAACCTTGACCTCAAAAACTTCACACCTTATACAAAAATGAACTCAAAATATATTACAGATTTAATGTTAAAACTATAAAACTTTTAGATAAAATATAAGAGAAAATATTCATGACCTAGGTTTAGGCAAAGCGTTCTGAGACATGACACAAATGGCACAATCCATAAAGGAAACATTGAAAAACTGGACTTTATTATCAAAAGTAAAAATTTTGCTCTGTGAAAGACACAGGTAAGAGAATAAAAAGGCTACAGAATGGTAGGATATATTTGTAAATCACATATCGAACAAAGAATCTGTATCCAGAATATGTAAAGAACTCTCATAACTTGACGCAAAGAAAATAAACTACCCAATTTAAAACTGCAAGGGCCGGCTGAGTGGCTCAGTTGGTTAAGAGCTCGCTCAAGAGTTTGAGCTCTGAGCAACAGCTGTTTGAGTCCTGGCCTGAGCTGAGCAGCCGCTGAGCTGCCAACAGGTGGCAGGATGGCTCAGCTAAAATAAATTAAAAATAAATAAATAAATAAAACTGTGCAAAAGACTCAGACACTTCACCAGACAGGATCTATGGATACAAATAAGGATGATGTTCATTATTAGCCCTTGAGGAAATGCAAATTAAAACTATGATGACATTCCTCTAAACACTGACTAGATGGCTAAAATTAAAAAAACAAAATACCAAGTGCCAACAAGGATGCAGGGCACCTAGAACTCGCTCATACTGCAGGTGAGAACGTAATATAGTACAATCTTCCTGTGACAGTTTCTCATTAAGTTAAACGTACATTTATCATATGACCCAGCAATCCCACTCCTAAGTATTCATGTTGGAAATGAAAACTTCTATTCACATAAAAACCTGTACATGAATTTTTATAGCAATTCTTTTCAGGGTCTCAAAAACTGGAAACAACCCTAATGTCCTCCAATGGGTGAATGGTTAAACAAACCATGGTATCGCTACCATGGAATAGTACTCAGCAATCAAAAGGAATGAACTATTGATACACACAACATGGATGGATCTTAATGGAACTATGGTGAGTAACAAAAGTCAATCTCAAAAGGTTACATACTGTATGACATTATGTGACATTCATGAAATTGCAAAATTAAAGAGGTGGAGAACAAATTAGGAGTTTCCAGGGACAGGAAGGTGAGGGGAGGGAGATAGCTGCAGTTATAAAAGGGTAACATGGGAGATACCTGTAGTGATGGAACAGTTTTGTATCTTAACTGTGGTGGTGGCGGTGGTGGTGCTGCTGCTGCTTACAAAATTTACATATGTGATAAAATTATATAAACACACACAAATAACTGCATGTAAAACTGATGAAATTTAAATAAAACCTGTGGACTTTGATTGTGACACTATATTACATTTATACAAAATATTATCATTGGGAGAAACTAGGTAAAGGGTACACATGAACTCTCTATACTATTTTTGCAACTTCTTATAAATCCATTATTTCAAAACAAATGTCAAAATTTCACAGAACTGTATACCAAAATAGTCAACTGTGATTCTCTATCAAAAGGTATATAAGGACCGGCCGAGTGACTCAGTTGGTTACGAGCTCACTCAAGAATGTGAGCTCTGGGCAACAGCGGTTTGATTCCCGGCCTGAGTTGAGCTGCCAACAGGTGGCAGGATGGCTCAGCTTAAAAACAAAAAAACAAAAACAAAACAAAACAAAAAAGGTCTACTCGTACATTAGTATACCTTCTGTAAAGCTCACTTGCAGAGCTTTATAAAAATATGTGTGCCTGGGGCACAATCCCATAATTCTGATTTGGTGAGTCTGGGATGGGACTTGGGCATTTGTGATTCTCTGATTTGTGCATTACAGGTGCAACCCTAGTAGATAACCACCACTTTAAAAGTGGGGATAATATACACACCTATTAACAGTGGTTGTGGGATCATAGGTAATTATAATTTCTTACTTTGCTATAATAAATGTGAATTTACGTGCAATAAAAATAAAAGCTGGGCCGGCCGAGTGGCACATTGGTTAAGAGCTGGCTTGGGATGCCAGAGGGCCCCGGTTCGGATCCCACATATGAGGGCCAGTGACACTGCCCTCTACAGCTAAGATGCTGAACAACAGCTCGACCTGGAGCTGGGCTGCCGTGGGTCGCCGGCAACAGCATAGGCTGCAGTCCACTGCTGCAGTGGGTTGCCATGGGCTACCGTGTGTAGCCAGCAGCCAGCGTGAGCGGCCAGCAGCTGCCGTGAGCGGCCGTCCAGAGGCCGGCGACTGATCTGCCTCACCCGGGAAGAGCGCAATGATGGTGCCAACTTGGGCCAGTGAAGCAACATCCTCTACAACTAGACTGAAGAACGAAACAACAGCAACTTGTCTGTTCCCCTTCCCCTGATTTCTCAGTGCTGTTCCCCTCCCCCAATTCCCCAATAAAATCTTTAAAAAAAATAACAGAAGCTTAGAAAAGGTTCAGTTTATAATTCCAGCTGGTAGAGATATTTTATCTCTGTTATCCACTTATTCCCTATCTCTACAACCAATTTCAATTACCTGTGAATTTGATGAGTAGATCTTCTCTGTTCTCATCTACATCACTAATAAAACTGTTGATCAGAACAAAATCTGCTGACCGTCCACTAGAAATCTTCTAGCTTGGTAATGACCAACAACCTTTGAAATCACTTTTATTTATTTAAGATCTCCCCAAATTCTACTCTTATCTAATTTACTATTCTTTTAATCATTTCCATAAGATGAGAGATATTTTCATGCTTTGAAGATGTTCAAATCTACATTTCCCTGGTCTGTCACTACAAAGTGAGGCTGAACCACTTCTCAGGTACTTAAAGGATATTAAACTATATTACTTTTTCTCCCCAATTGCATAGTAACACTCTGCTGGGCGTAGACTATGCCTTACATTTCCATGCAAACTCCACAGCAATCCATTCAATTCCACTCATTCAACAAATATTTACTGAGACTCTACTATGTGCCAGGTACTATTCTGGGCTATCTTTCCTTTGTGTAAATTGAAAATTAAGTATTCATAGCAGTATTTCCTCAACATCCAACCCTGGACAAACAGCTGCAATGTCTGGTGCTACAATGTCCTTTCTATTACCTATCCCACCCAAGCTTGAAAGACTTTATCACTGACCTCTATCCAAATCACTATACTTTTACCAGATTTTAAGAATGATTAAACTAGCATACCAACATTACCTTTTCTAGAAATAATCTCTCCTTCCACTGGGTTCTCACAGTATCTTACTTATAACATTCTTATAGTACTTAGTGTATTCTACTTTGTATTGTACTTATTTGTCTGCATGGCTTATCTTGCCCCCTAGATCATAAGCTCCCCGAGGGCAGGAATGATGGCTTATCCAGCTCTATAGACCCAGTAAATTTTTACCACACTTGGCTCCTGGTGATGTGGAATGAATAACTGATAAAGAGAATAGCAGTAGTTGTCAGGTTTACCTGCACCTCCACCAACCAGTCCACAAGAATGGCCCTCATGTCACTGTTGATGTCAGTCTGCCTATTCATGTATTTTTCAAGTATGAACTTTTCCTGGTGGCAATAAGAAAGAAATGTTAATAAACAAACCCTTCTTATATTTCCAAAATTGTAACTTAGGAAAAAAATACTTGCAACTAAACTCAGAAAAAATCATAACATCATAATTAACTTCTTCACAGTTCTAACTCATTATTTTCAGCTGGTATCTGATGGGAGCATATCAAAGTATCCTTTTCCAGACAAGTTCCAGTTATCCTTGGAAAACAGACATACAGGATACTCAAGCAGGAACACACTTGTAACTATACATGGATACCAAAGAAAGTCTGCCCCTTTTTTGCAATTCAACCTAAAGCTCAATACCATGCTATACAGAGCAGTGCTTCTCAAATTTAGTATGCACATGTACCACCTGGGCAATCTTTAAAATTCAAATTCTAATTCAGAAGTTCTGGGGCAAGGCTAGGTTTCTACATTTCTAACAAAATCCCAAGTGAAACCTACACCGCTGAGCTAAGGCCCACACTTCTGGTACAGCAAAGCTTTCTCTTACTTCCTCCAAGGTATACTAGAAAAAAAATGTGGGCTCTAGAGTCAGTTAATCAAACACTATGTCTCTAGAGAGAATACAAGATATTCATCCTCCCTCTTCTACACGGCCTACTAAAATTCTAGATGGCAGATAATCTTGGTCCCATCTGCTCTGTTGAAAAAGACAGAAAAAACTTGGAATCAATGAATATTAGTAGTATAAGAGATTGGCAGATTTCAAAGGAGGAAGAAAATTTCATGAGGGTGGAGAGCTGAAAGAAAGGGTATGATTGTACACATGAGGCCAGAAACTTGCTTAGAGAAAAGATTTCTAAGAGCAACCACTCAGAAAGAAACGACTTGACCATTTTTGAGTCTGACACTGTCTCCTCAGCAATGAGAGGCACAGGCTTACAGTCTTTGAGGTAATCAACTTGAGTCCATATCCCAGCTCTACTACATACTAGGTGTGTGACTGAGCAGTTTCCCCAATCTATTAAAAGGAGATAATGCCTACCATCATGAAATTATTGGGAGACTTAAACAAGATAATTTAGTTTATAAATCCCTTAGCACAATGTCTAACTCATAATAAGCTGCAAGGAGATGTCAGTAGTTGCTCCCCTTTCAACTTGCATTTAAAGGATGAAGTGATAAGGAAATGAGAACTAGAAATCATTAGCCCGCCCAGCCACCTACATACCTCTCTCTGCTTCATGTAATCGAAAATATCGTTGGCATATACTGAATTGAAAAATTGATAATTGTGGTAATTCTCCATATCCTCCGGTGGGGTTATCTGCTTGGAAATCACCAAAAAGACATATTAGAAGGAACAACATTCCAAAGAAGGCTTAGCACACACATAAAAGATGACTCCTTTCTTTCCACTGTCAGCTGCTAAGGTTCCTCAAGGCTCATTCATATATCCTGGGCCATAACAGAGCACCCATGGGCCCTGCAATCCTCATAACTGCTGAGTGACCAAGAAATGTTTAGTCCTCTTGTACATGCCTGTTCTGCCATAGGAACCAGGCAGCATTCTTACAGGGAAGCTCAAGACTCTCCAACAAAGACACTCTCATTTTACTATTTTGGCATATGTTATCTGTCTTTTGAGGTTCCTTGTTATGCCCCAATGCTTTGATCTGGCCCAATTCATCTTGTTAGTAGCCTTTTCCTCCCTTCTACACCTTCACCTAGGTTGTTCTGCTTACAAGAGGGGTATTTCTCTTCCTGCTTGCCAAATCACATCCTTTCAATTTACAACTTAAAGGCCATCTTCCTTGAGATTTGCCTCTGAACTTGACCCATCTTTGACTGAAGCCCAGTGTAATGCAGACTGTAATTACTAAGACAGGCAATCTTCTGAAAGAAGTAAATACTACTACAAAGCCAATATATATATATATATATATATATACACACACACACACACACACACACACACACACACACACACATAAATACCCTTGTGGGTATTTCTGGAATAAATACTTTCTAATTGCTTGGATGAATCACTATGCCAATTGGGAAGTCAAGAGATTCTACAAGGCCAACTTGATTCACTATCACTTCCTATACACAGCTTAATTACTTAGGGGAAAAAAATCTCTTTGCTAGCAGCCACCTGCAGGACACCAAAGACCACTTCATCCAAATTAAGAAGAGTGAATACCTCATTCTGTGATATCTTGTCCCAAGATGAGAAAGGTTTATTGGAACTGGATTCACAAGCACTGGAATTGCTTGTGGTACTCAAGTCGCGCAGACTGGACAAGGTGGCAGTGCTGGACTTGCCTGTTCTGGACACAGTGGCAGTGCTGGACATACGTGGGTTGGTCTTAACTTGAAGGACCAAGTAATCTTTAAGAAAGGTGTCTTCCTTGTGGGTGGGAGTCTCTTGCAAGTCCACTGGCTTCCCAAAACAGAACTGTTGTGCCGTGGTGGGTTTCCCACTCAAGGGGGATATCCCCTTGAAATGGAATGCCTCATTGATGGTAGGCTGCCCCTGAAAGGCTAATGGCTCCTTAAAGAGGGCCCCCTTCTCACTGCTGGGCTCCTGCAAGGCCAAGAATTCCTTCAGGATGGCATTCTTCTCACTGCCAGGCTTCTGCAAAGCCAGGGGCTGCTTAAGAAGGGACTCCTCTTCATTGGTGATGTTATCTTTAAAGGCCAACTGCTTCTGCAAGAACCCCTCCCCTTGAGCAGTGGGCTTCTTCTTTAAATATAATTGGCTCTCTATGCTTGGTGTTGCCTCAGTGGAGACGTTCTTCAGAACCAATGGTTTCTTGACAATGGATTTCTCTTCAGTGGTGCCTTCCTTCTGCAAAGCCACCAGCTTCTTCAAGGAGTCTTCTTTGGTATCAGTCTTCTGCACATTCAAACCCTTCCCGGAAGTGGGGCCATATTTGTTGGTAGGATTAACATGCAATGAAAATGGCTCCTGAGAGAGGACTTCCTCCTCAGTGGTAAGCTTCTCCTCTAATGGTTTCTTAATACATGCTTCTTCCTCATTGGTGGTCTTTACCTGCAAAGCTAATGGCTTCTTTGAGAGGGATACCTCCTGCAGAGTGGTGTGCTTCTTTTTCAATACAGATGGATCCTGGAAGAGGACTCCCTCATTCGTTGAAGGCTTCTTCTTATAGGGAAATGGCTTCTTAAAGAGTGACTCCTCTTCAGAAGTGCTCTTCTCTAAGACCAGCGGCTTATTTAAGGGGACCATCTCCCTCTGAGTTTTTCTCTTCTCCTTTAAAGAGACCAGTGTCTTGGTAGGGACTGTCCCCTCAGTTGAAGACTTCTTCCTAAATGACACTGGCTCCATAAACAAGGAAGCATTCTCTTTGCCAACCGTATTCTGCAAGCCCACCAGTTCTTGGCAGGTGGACATCGTTACTGGAATGATGGGCTCCTTGATGGAGGCTGCCTCATTTGTGATATGTTCCTTCCTAAAGGAAAATGACTCCAAAACCGATTTATTTTTACTGTGACTATCCTCCAATACCCGTGAATCCTTCAAGAGGGCTACCTTCTCCTGAGTGGTGTGCTTCTCTTGTAACAGAGATGGCTCTTGGAAAAGGGACTTTTCAGTGGTAGGCTTCTTCTTAAAGGGCAATGATTCCTTCATACGCCCCTTTTCTCCAGAGGTGGTCTTCTGCAATACTAGTGGCTTCTTCTTATGGGACATCTTCCCCTGAGTGGCACACTTCTTCTTTAAAGTTAACAGCCTCTGCATGAGCATTGTCTCCTCAGTTTTAGGCTTCTTCATGACGTTCATCAGCTCCATAAAGCAATGCTCTTCAGCGTTAATTTCCTGCAAGGCCACCTCCTCCTGTTGGCAGGACTGCTTCCCCTGATTTGTGCACATCTTCTCTAAGGGCAATGTCCTCTTGGTGATGGCTGCCTTCTCAGTTTCATGCTTTTTCACAAGTGTCATTGGCTCTGCAACAAACTCACCATCATTGTCATTCTCCTTCTGCAAGGATAGTGGCTTCTCCAACAGGGACGCTTCCCCCTGATTTGTGTGCGTCTTTAAAGATAATGGCCTCTTGGTGAGGACTGCGTCCCCATTAGTGGGTTCCTCTTTTAAAACTAATGGCTTTTTGAAAAGAGATGCCTCCTCAGTAGTGGGTGTTTGAGAGATGGTAGACATCTCCGAAAGCAGTGGTTTCTCCACAGTGTTTGGTACCATGGTGGTAGAAACTGCTACTGGTGAAGGTTCCAGCTTATACCTGTAAAGAAAACGATGTCTGGGTAAGTAGTTCCTAGAATCCTCACCTACCATCTCATTTTGTTGCTATATTCACTAAAGGTATGGAAGGGGAAAGGGTTTCAACTCTAAAAGACAGATTAGAGGGTAAAAATCAATGGGTACCATAGTGAATCAACTAAGTAGCACAGTGTATAGTTTCTATGGCCTAGGTCCCCACACTTTTCTGAAAAAATTTCCCTGAAATCCATGCTATGCTTTCTCATATATGATTTATTACCTTTATTTAGATGCAAAGGCTATCATTATAATACTTACCATATTGCATGAGTTATCTGCTGATATGTCAGTCTCCCTCACTAGCTGCATTTACTTGTCTTTGTCTAGCAGCACCAAGCATCCGGTAAAATGCATGTTGAAATTAATATTGTTTGAAGGCTTATGAGAGGGGATTATAAGAGAGAGGCATATAAGAGGCTTATGAAGGCTTATAAGAGAAAGGTGGTCTGGTACTTAACATTGGTGGTATCTAACCATATTCCATTTACCCTAGGCTATACACAAGATCTTTTCCCAGTGGACACAATAAAAAGTCCAAAATAGATGTTCGTTCACATGTATCAGATGCAAAGCTTTGTTTTGAACAGGATTTCATGTCCAATCAGAGTGACTAACCTAGTGTAACCCAATCACTGGATGACTAGAAATCAGAAGAGAATTAAAGGCAAATACAACCATCAGTCTGAACAAGAGTAAGTGCTTCCAAAAGACTAGATATCATATGGCTCCATTTATCTTAAACGTCCAGAATAGACATATCCACAGAGGTATATCCATAACAGAAAGTAGACTGGTGGCTGCCCGGGCTGGGAAGGGGTGGGGTCTGGGAAGGGAAAGGCAGGAAGGGAGACTGGGAAAGGGAAAGGGCTGCTAGTGGGTATGAGTTTCAGGGGTGTTGGAAAAGTCCTAAAATTACATAGTGCTGATGGCTATACAACTCCATGAACACAAAAAAAATAAATTATTTTTAAAAAAGGAAGTGCCAGCTGGCTTACTAGAAATGGACAAGTTGATTCTAAAATTTGTACGGAATTGTTAAGGAACCCAGAATAGCCAAAACAATCTTGAAAAAGAGGAGTAAAGTTGGAGGGGGTCACACTTCCCAATTTCAAAATGCCCTATAGAGCAACAGTAATCAAGACAGTTGTCACACTGGTTTAATGACAGACATGTAGATCAATGGAATAAAATTCAGAGTTCAGAAATAAACACATTTATACTCAATTGATTTTCGATAAGGGTGCTAAGACAATTAAGTGGAGAAAGTTTAGTCTTTTAAAGAAATGGTGGGCCGGCTGAGTGGCTCAGTTGGTTAAGAGCTCGCTCAAGAGTTTGAGCTCTGAGCAACAGCTGTTTGAGTCCTGGCCTGAGCTGAGCAGCCGCTGAGCTGCCAACAGGTGGCAGGATGGCTCAGCTAAAATAAATTAAAAATAAATAAATAAATAAAACTGTGCAAAAGACTCAGACACTTCACCAGACAGGATCTATGGATACAAATAAGGATGATGTTCATTATTAGCCCTTGAGGAAATGCAAATTAAAACTATGATGACATTCCTCTAAACACTGACTAGATGGCTAAAATTAAAAAAACAAAATACCAAGTGCCAACAAGGATGCAGGGCACCTAGAACTCGCTCATACTGCAGGTGAGAACGTAATATAGTACAATCTTCCTGTGACAGTTTCTCATTAAGTTAAACGTACATTTATCATATGACCCAGCAATCCCACTCCTAAGTATTCATGTTGGAAATGAAAACTTCTATTCACATAAAAACCTGTACATGAATTTTTATAGCAATTCTTTTCAGGGTCTCAAAAACTGGAAACAACCCTAATGTCCTCCAATGGGTGAATGGTTAAACAAACCATGGTATCGCTACCATGGAATAGTACTCAGCAATCAAAAGGAATGAACTATTGATACACACAACATGGATGGATCTTAATGGAACTATGGTGAGTAACAAAAGTCAATCTCAAAAGGTTACATACTGTATGACATTATGTGACATTCATGAAATTGCAAAATTAAAGAGGTGGAGAACAAATTAGGAGTTTCCAGGGACAGGAAGGTGAGGGGAGGGAGATAGCTGCAGTTATAAAAGGGTAACATGGGAGATACCTGTAGTGATGGAACAGTTTTGTATCTTAACTGTGGTGGTGGCGGTGGTGGTGCTGCTGCTGCTTACAAAATTTACATATGTGATAAAATTATATAAACACACACAAATAACTGCATGTAAAACTGATGAAATTTAAATAAAACCTGTGGACTTTGATTGTGACACTATATTACATTTATACAAAATATTATCATTGGGAGAAACTAGGTAAAGGGTACACATGAACTCTCTATACTATTTTTGCAACTTCTTATAAATCCATTATTTCAAAACAAATGTCAAAATTTCACAGAACTGTATACCAAAATAGTCAACTGTGATTCTCTATCAAAAGGTATATAAGGACCGGCCGAGTGACTCAGTTGGTTACGAGCTCACTCAAGAATGTGAGCTCTGGGCAACAGCGGTTTGATTCCCGGCCTGAGTTGAGCTGCCAACAGGTGGCAGGATGGCTCAGCTTAAAAACAAAAAAACAAAAACAAAACAAAACAAAAAAGGTCTACTCGTACATTAGTATACCTTCTGTAAAGCTCACTTGCAGAGCTTTATAAAAATATGTGTGCCTGGGGCACAATCCCATAATTCTGATTTGGTGAGTCTGGGATGGGACTTGGGCATTTGTGATTCTCTGATTTGTGCATTACAGGTGCAACCCTAGTAGATAACCACCACTTTAAAAGTGGGGATAATATACACACCTATTAACAGTGGTTGTGGGATCATAGGTAATTATAATTTCTTACTTTGCTATAATAAATGTGAATTTACGTGCAATAAAAATAAAAGCTGGGCCGGCCGAGTGGCACATTGGTTAAGAGCTGGCTTGGGATGCCAGAGGGCCCCGGTTCGGATCCCACATATGAGGGCCAGTGACACTGCCCTCCACAGCTAAGATGCTGAACAACAGCTCAACCTGGAGCTGGGCTGCTGTGAGTCGCGGGCGACGGCGTAGGCTGCAGCCCCTGCTGCAGTGGGTTGCCATGGGCTACCTTGTGTAGCCAGCAGCCAGCGTGAGCGGCCAGCAGCCGCAGAGAGCGGCCGTCCAGAAGCCGGCGACTGATGTGCCCCGCCCAGGAAGAGCTCAATGATGGCGCCAACATGGGCCAGTGAAGCAACATCCTCCACAACTAGACTGAAGAACAAAACGACAGCAGCTTGTCTGTTCCCCTTTCCCCGATCCCCAGCGCTGTTCCCATCCCCCCAATTCCCCAATAAAAAATCTTTACAAAAAATAAATGGTGCTGGGACAGCTGGATATGTGCATGCAAAACAATGAAGTTTAGACCCCTAACATACACCAACAACAAAAATTAACTCAAAAACCTAAGTTAAGAGTTAAAACTTGAAAACTCTGAAAAGAAAATCTTAAAAGTAAATCTTTGTAACCTTGGATTTGGCAATGGTTTGTTAAATATGATACCAAAATCATAAGCAACAGAAGAAAAAATAAATTGGATTCTTCAAAATTAAAAACATTTGTTCCTCAAAGGACTGCAACAAGAAAGTGAAAAGACAGCCTACAGAATGGGTGAAAATATTCGCAAATCATTTATCTGATCAGGGACTTGTATAAAAAATATATAAAGAACCCTTACAACTCAATAATGAAAAGCTCAATAACCAAATTTTAAAAATGGGCAAAGGATCTGAATAAGCATTCCTCCAAAGAAATATGCAGTAGCAACCAATCACATGAAAGATGCTCAACAGCAGACAAATGCAACTCTGAAATAAACCACAATGAAATATGATTCACACCCACTAAGATGGCCATTAGAGAGAGGGAGAGAGGGAAGGGCAGAGGGAGGGGAGGAGGGAGGAAGTGACGGAGGGAGGGAGGGAGGAAGAGAATAGGATGGAAAGAAGGAAAGAAGGAAGGAAGGAAGGAAGGAAGGAAGGAAGGAAGGAAATCGCAAGGGATGTGGAAAATTGGAAACCCTCTTATACTGCTGGTAGGGATGTGTAAAATGGTGCAACTAGTATGTAATACAGCTTGGCAGTTCCTCAATGAGTTCAACATAGAATTACCATGTGACCTAGCAATTACATTCCTAGGAAAATAAACACAATAATTAAAAAATAGGTGTTCAAACAAAAACTTATAAATGAATGTTCACACCAGCACTATTTATAATAACCAAAAGGTGGAAACAACACAACTGTCCATCAAGTGATGAATAGGTAAACAAAATATGGTGTATCCATACAGAGGAATATTATTTGCCAATAAAAATGAATGAAGTACTGATGCATGCTACAACATGGATGAACCTTGGAAACATTATGCTAAGTGAGAGGCCAGACACATAAGACCATTTATATGAAGTGTCTATAACAGGTAAATCTATAGAGACAGAAAATATATTAGTGACTGCCTAGAGCTTGGAAGGATAGGGGAATTGAGATGATAGCTATAAGTACAGGGTTTCTTTTTGGGTTGATGAAGATATTCTAAAATTTATTGTGGTCACAGCTGCATAACTGTGACTATACTAAAAGCCACTGAATTATATACACTTTACATGGATGAATTGTGTGGTCTGTGAATTATATCTCAGTTAAGCTGTTACCAAAAAAACTCACTTAGAATAATGTGTGATTACACTGAGCTCTCAATAACTGTTAGCTATCCATTCTAGTCTATTATTAGGATCCATTCCACTGAACCCCGAATGAAGGCAAGAGTATTTATGGCATTTTGTGAGGCTTTCCCTGTTCAAGGCAGCATGATGAAAGAAATTAAAAAGGAAGTAAGTCATGAAATTCACATAAAATGCATGCAAATCCCAGGAGTTCCATTTCAGTAAGAAACCAAGTAGGGCTAAATGTTAAACTTCTGGTTTGATTTCTTTCTGCTGGGTAATTAGCAAAGTGTCCTGTGGACCTGGCATGTTAATTTTCTAGAGTTCAACTTTTCCCCCTTACCCTTTGGAGCCCATGCTTAGCCCCACTATAGCTATCTATCTGTCCCACTGGAATGAGGAGAGGACATAGAATGGTTTCACTCCACTCTCCAACTCCTCTTCCAATAACAGTTTTTCTAGAAATAAATCCCTTCTCCAATCCTAGATGAGAATACTCATACCTACTAGGAGAACCTATGAACAGTTCCTTGTAAGAGCTGGGAAACACGTTTTTCTGCCTAGGGAGACAGTAACCTCTCTCCAGTAACAAGGGACAAAGCTCCCCTAAAGCTTCTAATGGATAGGCAGACAGGCAAGCTATCAACCAGCTGCTGAGAAGCCTCCGAAGAGTTAAGTTGCCCCCACACTCTCAAGCACAGATGGCTCAAACAGGGACTGAATTACTAAAAGATAGAAAAGATGAGCACAAGATCTTTTGGCAGATTCCCCAATGACACTGTTATGTCATCTTTCAATATGCATATCTTTCAATACGGAGAAAGAGAAAGAGAACGAGAAGAGGCCTGTAACACTTTAAAACCACAGCGAGGCCCACCTCAGCAACCAGGGCTAACGTAGTAATCACCACTGTGGCTCAATGGCGACAAAAGGATGTCACACGCTCTCTTTAACCAACTAAAACAATGCCATCTGTGTGCCCTCTTACTCACTTTTTCATATTCATCTCATTGTTTTCGGCCACTCCAAGAGTAGGTGTGTCCCTGTTTATCATCTTGGAAACTTCTTTAACAAACTCCTTATTGGCTTCCCTCTTGAGCTGGGCAGGTTGACTTTGAGAAGCCTGCAGAAAATAGAGGGGAGAAGGAAGCAAAGAAATGGAGAGAAGCACTAATTCCCACAGAGGTGGCTCTTACAGAAAAGTCCTGACCCACATGCCTGCCCTGAACACCTTGTTCGGGTGCTCCCAGGAACAATAACCAAAACATCTCACAACCGGTATAGCACTGGTGTGGACTAATCACAGTGGAACCTAGCAGTACAGTACGACTGGTAAATATTAGCTAAACAGCATCCCTAAGTGATTCTAAGTCACACAGGACATAGTTCTGATCTCCACGTCAGACATACTGGCCGGCAAATTCCCCAAAAGATGTTTTGCTAACATCACATTCCATTTTGACCCCATAAGATGTTCGGGGGAAGGGGGAGGGGAGGCAATATAACTGGCTTTGCTGCCTGGGTATACCAAGATCAACTAGCTTTTCAGGGTAGACCTGTAATATAACACTACCTGTGATACATCTATCCCATCTCATTGAGGGGATATTTATTTAACATGTGGCTCTGGGAAGCTCCACCACAAACTCTAATCATGACTAATTCTATTAAACAGTAGAGGAGATCATGGGACTATAAGTAATGTTAGTAAAAATAAATTTAAAAGTTATACCTTTAAAATGAAACAAATTGAACCTAATTATATTTTAAATAAATATAACCACACTAAAGAAAAAAAAACAGAAAAAAATTCAAGACAACTAACCCAAGTAAATTCAGGATTTATTTTAGACTATATACCCTCAACATATATACCCTCAATCACGATGGGCTTATGGAGTGGCAGAGAATATTGCAAATGAATCTGGAACGTCTTTTAGTAGGTTTGTTTATTATGATGGTATGGACGTAGTAATTTTGAAACTCTTTTAGAGGTATTACAGTATTGAGTAAATACACTGATATTCTTGGGAACCAGGATTCTAATTGTAGAAGGAACATACAAATATAGAGCAGGGAATACAAGAAAGAACCCTGTTTTTTGGAATGAAGGGTGTATGACCTCATGTATATGTAAATATACATCTGAGTATATAGATATATGTGTGCCTACCTATGTGTTTAGATATATGTATATGTATGTTGAAGCACATGTATGTGTGTATATATGCACATATTTCCTAGTTCTGTCTGCTGAAAGGGCATAAAAAGCAGACACCCCAGTAGCACATCTAGCACTGAGATCTTGGTCTCTTATACCATTCCAGGGCTGAGATAAAATACATCCAAAATGAATCTGGAACATCCTGTTATGCACAAAAGAAATTGCTCAAAAAAATTATGAGTATGTCACAAAGACAGTATGTCACAATTATGAGAGCATATCACAGTTGTCAGTTTGAAGTGGACCCTACTGACCAAACCTGGGACAGTTTGAGCACCAAAATAATTAAGTGCAATAATGAACAATAAACCACAGAAAAAAATAGGAATTCATAAATCTATGCCAATAATAAATAAACAGAAAAGGAGGGAAGACTCATGTTTGTGGTAGAATGCCAAGGTCAAATTGATAAATAGGGAGCAAGCACTAGATTTGGAAAAATCATCATAAAGACCGGTTTAGGCAAAAATCATCAATGGATGCTAAATCAAGGTGACCTTTTGATGACGAGGTTATTTGCAGACGGTTGTGTCCCACAGACTGCTTATCAGTTATAAGATAAAAATAAATAAACAAACAGTAATTATGCAGCGGAGAAACCAAATAACATCTTAACAAAGTGATCAAAATGAACATCACCAATGAGGGACAGATGGACATTGTGTAGCTCCAGATGTGATACTATAAGAACAGAACATCATCTACACAGTATTCTAGCCAAGAATATACAACATCAATCTAACCACATGGAAACATCAGACAAACACAAAATGAGGAACGTTCTATTTTTAAAAGAGGGAGTTGGGTGGGATTGTATTCTTCAAAAAGGCTAATGTCATTAAAAACACACACACACAAAGATAGGCTATGGAAAAGATTAAAAGAAGCTACAGACATGACAAGTAAATGACCCTAGACCGAGTCCTTTACTGGAGGGGAAAAATGCTTTTAACACTGACAATATAAAGTCAACTGAAAAAAATTGGATGACAGGTTACATAAAAATACTGTTATCAGTGTAATTTTATTAAGTTGTTAATTGTACTGTGGATACACAAGACAATTTCTCTGAGGAAATATACGCTGAAGTACTTAGGGGTAAAGGGACATGATTTATGTAAGCAAATGGGATAAAATGTTAACAATAGGTGCCTCGGTAAAGAGTATATGTGTGTTCTTTGTGCTATTTTTTATTTTTTGCAACTGTTTGTAAATTTTAAATTATTTCCAAATGAAATGTAAAAAAGTGATGCCTTTGTATCATCAGACCATAATAAGCAACTACAATCCAACAGGGAATTCTTTCTTAGGCCCTGAAGTCATCCACCTCTGCTCTTCAAAGAGCTTGGCAGTTTTTATGTTAACTTCACCTAAAGTTTTACAAACTCCTTTTATGTGCAACTGGGATTCAGAATTGGAAAAGAAGCGCATTCTTAGCAGGAGAGAGGTGGAGACCCTAGCCCCTAGGGTCAAACTCTGCATTTTTGCCATATGTGAAGTCAAGGCACTAACATATTCAGATCTAAGCTCAAGGGGACCTTTACTGTACTTCTCCATAATTCTTTCATCAAGAAATATAGGAAAATAAGGGCCGGCTGAGTGGCTCAGTTGGTTAAGAGCTCGCTCAAGAGTTTGAGCTCTGAGCAACAGCGGTTCGAGTCAGCCCAAGCTGAGCAGCCGTGAGCTGCCAACAGGTGGCGGGATGGCTCAGCTAAAAAAAAAAAAAAAAAAAAAAAAAAGGAAAATAGAGATGAAAATCCTACAGACACAAAATCATTTAGGTAAACATGGATATGGAACCTAGTGGTTTAAGACCAGCTCTTACATATCAAAAGTCTGTTCCATGCTGGAATGATAAAGGAGAGGAAAAGAAAAACACTCATAACATTAATTAAAATAGATCAACTGTTTTGGCAGGCCAGGACCTCACTGTGGTGAATGTCAGGGAGAAGACAGATATGGGAACATGGAGACCTAATAATACTGAGAGGAAGAAGAAAATCATCAGACAGAGTATCCCCAAAATTCATAGAGAAAAGTGCCCTAAACCTTCAAATAGATGAGCTCAGACATCTGCAAATGCCCAACCCTAGGAATGGCTTAGGTACACTATAATAATGGAACTTTCTCTGGAAAGCACCAACGACCATTCATGGTGACTAAAGTGAATCTTCAGAACTTGAATGCAAAATGAAAATGGCTTTCTGAGATTCTGTAAAGCAAGATAGAGGCAAAGCTACTGCTCAGGGATGTCTTGCTAACCCCACCCATACCCTGGAGGAGGATGTGACCTAACAGATGTTGAAATCAGTTAGAGAGTCAGGAGGGTCCTGGATATCTGCATGTACTTCCTAATAGTTTATCTGTGTTTGTTCTTCATAAATGGCCATATAGACTTCATGGAAAAAAAGGAATGAGACATAACAAGAAAGTTTCTCACATGTTGTGAGAACTTGCTTTGCAGTGTCACCATACACCCATCAGGGGCTCTGTGGGCCAATGGAAGCCACACCAAGATTGATTTCATCTGGTCTTGATTTGTGTGGCTATCTCATTTTAGCCAAGTCTCAAGATTCATGGATAAACAAGCCATGAAATGAACCTAACCTTACAGGTCTATGTGGGAGGAGTCTCTTTCAACCAGCCTATAGTAAATCTGAAATTCTGCAGAAAGGTGTAACCTAATCTTATATGTTGTAATCTCCACGAAGAGACTGTGTTAGCACGAGGGTGGACACACAGCATCTAAAGAGCAGAGATTCAGAACACTGTATTGGCAAACTTTTGTAGTGTGAAACCAACCAAGCTGTTCGCTTAGACAGGTTCAGTAGCAATCCATCACAAGATGGAGTGATATATTTAGAACTAAACATGAGCAGGGTAATGGGTCAGAAAATCAATATTTTAACATTGAAGTAATTCCAAAATGACCGATAGATAGGGACTGTGTATAAAATAAGAACTATTCTGCACAACATCTATAGGAGGTGGTTGGGCCTGGATGCATAAAGCACAAAATCAAAAGTAGCTTCAGCACAAGTCTGTAAGCTAAGATAGGATGTCTGGCTTTGTCCCCAAATGATTTGGAACTCACAAGCAACTGAATCATGGTTAACTGTAATGTTGCCTGTTAATAAAAACTACTATATGAGCAAGGGTTGATTTAAAACAATAAAAAATAAAGACCATAGATTCAAAGGGGAGAACTTTGTCAATGCTTAGCCAATCCTGCCCAAGGGAGTAAAATATTGGGTTGTAGGAAAAGTAATGACATATTTTTTCTATATTTTTCATTGCAAAAAAAAATGTGTCATGACTTTTCTGACAACACAATATTACCCAGTAGATACAAGTATTCTGGTAGCCACAGAAGGGCACTTTATTATGGAGGACAAGAATAGCTCCCCAGGGTTCTCTGTATCCTAGTCAAAACAAGACTTCAAAACCAACATTGGGTAAGTCCTCATTTGTAAAGTACAGATAATTATACGATAGTGTCTACTTCATAGGCTTATATGAGGATCGAGTTAATACAGAAAAAAGTGCTTAGAATAGTGCCTGGCAGATGGTAAGCACTCAGTAGGCATCAGTTATTATTTTCTAAGCCTACAGATTACCTTTGTCCCAATTCTATATTCAATTAGTAACATCCTAACTATTCATTCTGCTTTTTGCTGGTACCTTAATAATCCCAGAAGGGAGATAAATAAAGCAAACTCAAGAATTCTAGTCAAAATTGAGTTTTCAAGATCTCCATAGTTAAAAACCAGATCATGGAACTGTGGGGCTCAACGGTTCTGTACTTCAGGGGGCATTTTTGACTGTCACTATGACTAGGATGCTACTGGAACTTAATGCCTGCAGGCCAGGGATGCTGGCTGAGGTCAGTCTTATGCAACAGAAAAAAATGTCCTGCCCAAAATGCCCACAGTGCTTGAATTGATCAACATTGCCCTAGACTGCAATGAATCCATCAAAGTACTGACCTTTAAGGCCTAGGCAGCCAGCTGACCCACCTCTGGACTTGATCTAACTGCAAGATCCCATAGTTCTCATATTTATCTACAATTTCATATCTGATCATCACTTTGCTTCTTCCAGAGGGCTCCACCAATTAATTCAGATGGTATATGCCAGCAGAAGAGCCCCTGCAGGTTCTGAAACTGGGTCACTGATTCCAAATAAAATCAGCTCTCAACATTCCAGAGAGGGCCAGAGTCTGGTAAACTGGAAAGGTCCCTCAAGGAAGGGGCTGTCTAAAGCTTATGCAATACCACAGCAGAGGACTGGACTAGCATACTCACATTGGTGACATCTTCCAGAGCTGATCTCTTTTTGAGTGGTCCCTGAGGTAAAGATGGAGCTATCTTTGCTTGGTAGTTCTCCCCTTTCTGAAAAAGCAACAGAGGTAAATGAGTATATCCAATTGTGAACAGTCTTTTCAGGGACTTTGGGTCATCTTTGGGGCTCAGGGGGAAACTCTAGAATCTCCAAGCAACTGCAGATGCATATAATAAACCCCAATAAACTATAGCAAAATGAAATTTTGGCACGCACTGCTGCTTAGAGAGTCTCTGAAGGAGGTATCATTGATGATGGGGACAAGACTGTCAGGGAACAAGGCTGTTGAGAGACAAGATGACCTTCAGTGTAGCTCTCAGAATGAGCAAAATATCTTGGTGAAGTTAATTTTCCCTCTTACTTCTCTCATATTTATAGTTATCCTATCCAAGATTAACAACCACCATCGGTACCCTGCCTTTCCCAGTCATTCCTTTAATATGGATCCTCTCAGATAAATCAGTTCAATAATTTAACAAACATTTAAGTGTATCTTATGTTAAGTAGTTAATTTAAGACATTCCCAATAAGGACAATAATATACATACCTAGATACTGGTCCAGGATCAGCTCTTTACTAGCCATTGACCTTAGACAAGTCACTTAATATCTTTGCCTCAATTTTCTTATCAGCAAAATTGGAATGATAACCCACCTTATTTGAGGACTAAATAAAGGAATGCATGTAAAAAAAGTCTGTATACACTATAAATGGACATAAATCATATTTTAAAAGTATATAGTCCAAGGGAGCATTTGAGACCTTGCTTCCTGGCATGCCATCTGTTGGGCTCAAATAAACTCAAATTTAAAAAAAAGTATATAGTCCAATATAATTGTAAAGCTCACAGGGAAAAATTTGTATTTTAATAAAGGACTTTGGTAATCCATATGAATTCCTATTTGTCAGTGTATACATAGGAGGGGTGATAGAAGGGAGGAGAGGTGAATATTTTGGAGCAAGGGGGGGGCTTTCTTTCTGAGTATTGTTTATCTGTACATGCCTTACCCCACTCTCAAATGAGTTAAGACCATCTACTTGTATAAAGGTTAGGGTAAATCACATTGTAGGACTCTCCTACTCCTTAATAGTGTTTATTTGGTGAACGTTTCCCAAGTATCAGATATCCTTTAGGAAATCAAAATAAACCCTGCCCTATCTATATCAGAGAGTTGTTATAATGTGAAACAGATGCACTGAGGTCAGACCATTTATTTGCTCTGTTCTCCATCTACACCATAAATGGTTAGTAGATGACACAGTAAGTGATCAGAAATTTTGAGAATTGGATTCATAATACAATACACCAATCCAGCACAGCAGAGTAATCCCGAAAGAGCTGAGAAGAATTACTTCTGTTTTCTAATTGATTAAGCTAAGAAATAAGTAAGCTATTAGTCTTTTGTGTAGTTCATGATAACTAATCCTAGTGGAAATAATTAACACAAATAAAATGTTATTTGCTCACAAATTAGTTAAGAAGTAAACTGTCAATCTGTTATCTAATTAATTCCTACTTAATATTACTAGCAGAAATAATAAGCCCCAAATAAAATTTACAGTTGAAACTGAACTCAATAAAATTTAGATTTACAAAAGGTACCTCAAGAAAGTTGGATTTTGAAAAATAACTATCACAAACACATACAAAAATCTTACAATGGTAGAACTCTAATCAGAAAATTTGATATGGACAAAAATCTGATGAATGTATCAAGTCTTTCTTGCCAATTTATATAGAAAAACACATCTGGCCCCTCCATGAAAATCATTTTAGTAAAACAAAAATGAAAATGATTAGAAATATTAGTACTGAGAGGAAACTAATCAAGGAAATTAAATTGGCCTAATGATGTTTGTTCCAGCAAATACTTTCTTAATGGTAATTCATTAGTTTAGTAAAATGCTGATTAAAATATGTATGATGATGAACAAACATATAACATCTCAGGAATCAGAATGACTATGTCAAACGATTCACAAGGTCAAACAACAGAGTCAAAATGGACCCATTCTCCAAATTACCGGTAAATAGCTGTGAAAAGCATAACACATTTGTTGACCTAATCTTCATCCTTTCCCCAGGATGTATATCAAGCAGCCTCCTGGCAAAGTGCTTTGAGCATCTTAGAGAAAGTAAGAGTATAAATGTGATCATTAACGTGATCATTAACAAGAGTTTTGTTTGCTTCTGCAGACTGTAGAGGGTGGCCTTCATTTCAGCCATGCATTTAAAAGAAAGAGCTCACACTTTCTCCCCCAAGTTCTAATTTGCTGGTTTCCAACTACAAGAGCTCCCACCCCTTCCCTCCTCCTCAAGTTAAACCACCCATATTCTGAAAGATTTAAGGGTGAGGGTAGGGACTGAGCCAAAAGAGGAAGAAGCTACTCGAGATGCCGTTGGGAGAGAGAGCTTGTTCTAACCTTTTCAAATTGGTCATGATCACTGGGTACAATTTCGCTGGACCGAGATTTCTTAGTCTCATGTTTGGAGCTTTGGGGTGGTAGTGGAAGTGACATCTCTTACAGATTCAGCAGTGTCTATCCAAGGCACAGCTGCAATCAGAAAGTGACTCTTTAAAACACCATTCACCAGAAACATCACAGAATTCTCTGGAAACCTGAAAAAACCCAGTCTCTCTATAGCACTCCTAGGAGAAAACAGACTTTGAGTTAGGCAGATCTGGGTTCAAATCTTGTTTCTACCACAATTAACCTTGGGCAAGTGGCTGAAACTCCTTGGGTTTCAGTTATCTCATCTATAAAACGGAGATAAGTATAGCTACCTCTGCAGGGTTCTGTTCAAATTAAATGAGATACTCTATGTAAAAAGCCCAGCATAGTACCTGTCATCTTCTGTGGGCACCAGTACTATGGCCTAGCCCCTACTTTAGGCCTAGGAACATTGGGGGGCAACTTACATGAGACTTTGACAATTGAAAACAATCAATAACATGACAGATAATATAGTATGGAGGCTAGCTGGTAGGATTAATGTTCTTTAAAAGGCATGGGGTCCTGACCACAGCGATTATAATGATGCTACAGAGAAGACACAAGAATTCATTGTACACACACATATGCACAATAGGTCAGAGTATTCAAAGGCTGCATTCAATCAGAAGAAACTGTAATCCAGTTCTTGAAACCTAGTAGGGAAAAAAAATCAAAAGATGAGATAACAGCCGAAGGAACTCACTTATTGAAAATCACTTGACATAAAAATGTAACAGGCATTACAACCCTTGGGAGAATCCTACCTTCTTCAGTATAGAACCCCATTCTATATTTCTTAATGTTCTTTTAGTTTTTAAGTCCTCAATAGTTAGGACACACGTATGTCTTACAAGTAAATACATTATGAGGAGGAATCATTTTTTTGGCTACACAAGAGACCCTTCCCACTCAGATACAACTGCCCCTCCAAGCCCACCCATATTCAATCTCCAAGTTCAACTGCATTGACAATCAGGCTTTTTAAAGAGAGACCCTAAAGGCAATGCTACAGATGTACCAGTATATACCAAATACTTCAGGCAATGGAGCTACAAACACAAATAAATCATGGATCTTATCCTAGAAGTATTCACATGCACAGCTGTAACAGTCATTAAAATATGACAAATGACTTAACCAAGTACTATAGAAACCCAATGGAAAGTCAGTGACCTTGTGGGTGGAGGGGAGAGGGGCGGAGAAAGGCTTCACAGTGGAGTTTATATTCATTCCATCTGGACTTAAATGACAAAGCCATTCCCAAGAAGACTGAGGGGCTTTCCAGGCAACGAATGCCTAAACCCAGACAGAGGCTTGAACCTGCAGAGCACCAGGTTCAGGGATGTACAGGTTGTCTGGAGTATAAAGAATTTGTCTCAGAGGAGTTAGAAAGGAGCCAAAAGCTAGGCTGGGGCTAAGCGGCTGTTAAGAAAGAAAAGCAGAGAAGCCTACAGCTTGAGGAGTAGGTTTAAGAAAGGAGAAAGGCTGATTTGGGTTTTGCTTTGGATGGAGAAGTATTAAACATGTTGTCAGTGAGGAAAAGTCAGTACGAGTATGTGCCTTCATATTTATTAACTCAGTTGATCCTGACAAAAATGTTTCCAACTGACTTACTACACAGGACAAACTGTAAGCAGCATAGATCACCCAACTCTTTCCAGGACTCTTTCTAAAATACCATGAAGTCTCTCCAATCACACTCAAAAACATTCCAAAACAGTCCATAGTCTAAAGTGAAAGGCTGTAGTGTGGCAGTGTGAGGAGGTAGAATGAGCACAGGTTTTTTTTTTAAAGAATTTGGGCTTCTAAAGCAGCCAAATTAGCATCTTTGAGCCCCAGGTTCCTCTTGCACAAAAAAGCTATGCCACCTTTCACTTGCAGAGGTATCCTGTAGCTCAAATATAAATTTGCATGTCAAAGACTAAGCATGGTAGGCACGCTAAATAAATGGTGGGTCTTACTCACCTTTCCCTTCCCCCAAATCCAAAACTATTTTCAAACTCATCCTTCAGAATTCAGCCAAGCAACAATAAAGCTACATTGGGTGCACCCACCCTTAACTGCACTGTATGAAAACCACTTATTCCACTGTTATTGTTCATACCTCAAGCCATTTTTTAATGGATGACTAAATACTCATGTTCTGAAAACTTTATCTTTCAAAGGGAAATTAAAAATCAGACTGGAGCAAAATAGGCTAGAAAACTTTCAGTGATGATGTCACAGGTTAATTAAACCTCAGAGAAAATAAGGTTTTTCACATTGTGGACAAATCAAAGGGGGGGATCTATGGTAAGTGACCTCACAGGATGATCTGATCATAAATTCCTAACAGGGCAGGTCATGGTGGGTAGTCATGCCCCAGGCACAGAACTTCTTTAGTGAAAGGTTTTATGCCAGCCCTGTCCATTGTTCTAGTGAATTTAGGTTAACACACCTTTGAAGTGCCAGAAGTAATAACCCTCGCAGGGGTTATTAACCCTCAAGAGCATATAACACTTGTTAACTCTTAATTTCAAATGCATAAAAAAGGTACAAAATTGTTCTTCTCCAGAGCGTTTGAAATCTTGCTCCCCGGAATATGTTTGGCTCAAAGAAACTCTTATAACAATTATCCACAGGTTTGGACATTTCTTATGTCGACAACATTAAGGTTACATACCACCTTCACTATCCTGAACAACAATCACTTGCTTTGGGGGACACACACACTGACTTTCAACTAATTTCCCTGTCACTTGGAGGGGATAAGGGATTGACACCACCAAAAACATGCTTTCATAAAAAGACACTTTCTGCAGAGCACTCTCGACTTCTACCACCTACAAAACGCCAAGCCTTACTTAAACAAAAAAATTAGAATCCTTTCCATTTTCCAGACTTTCCATCTCCCCTACATGCACACTAAGTGTTGAAGACCCCACTGGACGTCCCAGAGCAGTGCTGAAAAGCACACAGGGACAAATTGGCTCTTTTAGAAGCCCAACTGTTCAGACTCCAAGACTGTAGATCAAGACAATCTATAGGAAACAGTAGTAATTTCATTTTACATACAACTTCAATTTACATACAGACAGCAAGACGCTGGGGAGAGAAAACAGCATGATGTCAATAAAAGCAGCACTGGGCAGGGAAGGATGCCTAGGGTCCAGTTCTGACCCTGCCCCTAGCTGGCTGGGTGACACTGGGAAAATCCCTTTTCTCTATCTAGGCTTCCTTTCCCCACCTAATAAAATGAAGCAATGGGACCTGAGCCTCCGCTATTTAAACCGTGGTAAATGGACCAGCACCAACAGCGTCACGTGGGAGCTTTTAGCAATTTAAAGTCTCAGGCCCAGGTAGGCCTTATCAAATAGGAACATGCAAATTAACAATATCCCCGTATGCATTTTAAAGTTTAAGAAGCACTATTCTAGGGTCCCTTCAACCTCTGACCTTCTAGGATTCTAATCATATAGCAGAGAACAATGGGCTAGGCAGAGCTGAAGTGATTGGAGGCGGGGATAGAAGCGAGATAAAAAGGATAATAAGGGAGAAAAGACTCGTTTTCATCCTCCTTCATACCCGTCAACCTGTAGTTCAAAAGACATCCATCCCTAAAGTAGCATTCTCTGATATATCTTGTGGAGGAAACTGATCCTGCACACTTTCACTTGTATAAAGACGTTTTATAAATGGATTCTGATCCAGGCACGTGTACCGGACGCTCCACCTAAAGCCTGCGGGACCCAGTCTCATTTGCTCTGCCATCTTACCCTCCAATACACACTCCCTGCCCAACCGCTTACAGGGCTCTCTCCGCAGACTTCTCACTGACAGAACAAAACAACGGTTTCCTAACAGGTACGCCGGCGCAACCAACAAGAGAAGACAACGGTAACAAGGGGCCGGAGTGATGCCCAAGGAACGACCCGCGTGCGACAGAGCCAGATATTCCAGCGGGCAGTACAAACCCAAAGGCACCTACCTCACACCGAGATTAAGGGCAGAGCAGGAAAGACCATGGGCACACTTCTAGACCAGGAGAGGCCCCTGGAAATGAATGGAGCTCCGTGTCGTAGCTACGCGTCTTGCTCGCAACCAGGCCAGTGCTCCCTGCAATCGGCCAGTAACGAATTTTGAAAATTCCAGCTCCCGAAGAAGCGCAGTGATGATTGGCCAGCAGGGGCCAATCAACGTGCAGAGTTGCGATGTGCGCTCGCCCCGCAAGGAGGGGCGGGGCTGGGCTTTTTAGTTGAACTCACTTTGCATTGGGGCGTCGTTTCCATAGGTTGGACTAGGCTGGTTTAACCAGCGAGCGTACTGGGTCTCTTTAAAGAGGCATTTTCATTTAAATAACACTGCTGGAGGGAGGGAGGAGAGTGGCGGTACAACGTAGGTTCAGCCTAGTTAAAACATTAATGTGAATAACCCTTTGTAGAATCAAACGTTAACTTCTGCTGGCTTCACAAATGGCGTTGTGAAGGGAAGCAGGGCAGAAATTATTACCCCTTATATGGGTAAGTATCCAAGTGCAGAGAGCTAATAATAGTAGCTATTATTAACTCAGCACTAGCTCTATGCTAATTATTATAATTTTTTAGTATTTTAAACCCTGTCCAAAACGATAGGTACTTTTATTATTGCCATGTTATAGATAAAATTGTAGTTTGTTAACTGCTCAGTATCACAAAGCTACATTCTGGCACAGCAGGTACTACAACTAAGATATTCTCATTTACTTCATTCATACATTAATTTATTCATTCAAATATTTACTGAGCACCTACTTTGTTCCAGGAACTAGAAAATATATGTAAGTAATTGACAAAAGACTAAAAGAACATATAGCCCTGCACTGTCCTCTGAGAAGGCAAAGAGAAAAGGGAGATGCCAGAAATAAAATCTAGGACTTCCTGCATATAGAGCAGATACTCTACCACTAAATTATCCCTACCTTTATTATTAGCCCATTCTCCTTTTAGTATCTCATAGACTCTACATTCAGTGTAAAATATTCACATAATCGAAGGCCCTCTTCTCTTTTTAATCTCCCTATGTTATCTCATCCAGATCCGTGACTTTAAATATCATCTAAAAACTGGCCATGAACTCCAGATTCATAAACTCAACATGTTCACAACCGTTACCAAACCTGATTCTTCCCCCAATCCCCCCCATTTCAGAAACTGGTACCACATCAAGCCTGTTAATCAAGCCAGAAACCTGGTATCATCCTTGTTTCAAACTTTTCCATCACCTTACTCTCTCATATCCAATCCTCCAGCAAATTCTGTTGATTCTACCTCAAAAATATAGCTTCCACTTCTCTCCATCTCCACTGCCACCATAATCTCTCATTTGAACTACTGTCAAGCGCCTTCAAGCTGCTCTCCCCCTTTCCAATCTTGCCCATCTCTAATACATATACGACATGACAACAAAATCAATCTTTTTTAAAAAGAAAAATTATATCCTGTCCCTCTCCTGCTTTAGTAGTTTCCCACAGAATTTAAGATAAAATCCAAACTCCTTAATCTGATCTACAAGTCCCACCTATCTCACTAACCTCATCTCATACCTCTCTTCTCATTTATTCCATTGCAACCATAATGGTATACTTTCAAAGCTTTGAATATACCAAAATCCCTCTCCTCAGGATCTTTGCACATGCTGTTTTCGTTGTGTGGAATATTCTTAGCTCCATTCTTTAAATTACTTGTTTTTTTCTCATGTTTCCAGTCTCAGCTTAAAAGTCCCCCCTATGCCTTTCCTGACCACGTTAACTAAGGTAAAATCACCCCCTCCCCCGCCTTATACTCTATCTCAGCCCCTTACATTTCTTTTAGAGCAATTATTGCTATTTGTAATTTTTTAACCCATAACCTCACTCAAGAATGCAAGGTCTATAACTACAAGTACCATATCTTTTGTGCTCTATCTCCAGTGATTAGCATTAATAATAGTTCACATTTACCAATTGCTTACTATATGTTTTACACTGTTCTGACACTCACAACAATACAATGAGGTGTTAATAGCCCCATTTTTCAGAAGAGGAATTTGAAGCACAGAGAAGTTTAGTAACTTGCCCAAGATCACACAGCTACTATATTATTGGGCTGGGATTTAAACCCAAGCAGTCTGATTCCAGAGATCAAACACATAAGCATTTCCTGATACGAGCTTACTTGACAGATGACTGAAAATTATTTGTTAACTAAGTAAATGAGTATCTTCCTTTAAAAATCATAACTGTGGATAACTGTCCCACTGGGATGAACTATAAAGGAAATATAGTATTAACATAAGTCACTATATGTCTTCTTTAGTCAAGAGAAAAAAAGGTTCACCTACCAAAACAACAGCAACACAAAAATTACAAAACAAGCTATTTCATTTTTCCAAGTATGGTGATCATTTCACAATACATACACGTATTGAATAATTATGTTGTACACCTGAAACTAATACAATGTTGTATGCCAACTATACCTCAATTTTTTAAAAGTTATTGAGTACAAGTTGTGAGTTTTCCAAAAATTTTTGAATTTGTTTTTCTCTCAACCTTCACACCTCCCATTGACTTAACCTTTCCTTTGGGTGGCACTCAGAGATAAAACTGAGACAAAAGGAGACAGCCCTTTGACTCTACCATTTTTCTATATTTCTCTCCCCCCAGGCATACAATATTCTCATAAACTCTCCTATCTCCTCCCTCCTACATCTCTGTTTTAAAACATGATAGAAAAGATCTGCTATTATCTACCTTACTTTTACATGAGAATATATTCCAGGCGGATCCAAGATTTAATTGTGAAAATGAAGCCATGGAAATACTAGACGAAATATAAAAGAATATTTTTATAATCTTGCAGAAAGAAAAACCTATCCAAACAGGACAAAAAAATCTAGACACAGCAAAAGGATCAATAAATTTTAGTAGCTAAAAAATTTTTAATTTTGTTTGGAAAAACAAACAGGAAACAAAAACAAGGTTAAAAAAAAACTAACAACAAACTGGCAAAAAACGTTGGCAGCACAAATGACAGAAAAATAATTTCCAAAATGTACAAAGAGAACTTCATGATCCACAAGAAAAAAATGAACCACCCATCAAAAAAAAAAAACCTGGCAAAAAATGAACTAGAGAACAAATATGAATGGTTAATAAACATGAAAATATGATTAATTTCACTAAAAATAAATGCAGATTAAAACAGCAACACATTTTTTTTGGTTTGGGACATTGGCAAAGGTTTTATAGAATAATAATAACTTCTGCTGATAAGGGGGTGGCTAAACAGGCACTTTTATTCACTGTTGGTAGAAGTAAAAACTGCCATAAACTTTAAGAGGGTTATTTGAAAATACCTACTTAATTTTAAAACTCTTCTACCCAGATATTCTACTTCTGGTAATCTTCTCTACAAAAATACTTATTGTAAAAAAGGCTGAAAATTCCCCAAACTTGATACATAAACCTATAGTTTCAAGAAGCTAAGCAAACCCCAAACAGGATAAACCCAAAGAAATGCAAACAAAGGCACATTATAATCAAGCTTCTGAAAGATAAAGACAGAGAAAAAAATCAACCTTGAAACCAGCAAGAGAGAAAAGGCACCTTTCTAATAGGGGCATTTTTTTTAAATGATAAAGGATTTCTCATCAGAAACCATGCATGCCAGAAAGCGGTAACACAAGGTTTTCCAAGAACTAAAACAAAAGAACATTCATCTCAGAATTCTATATCCAAGGAAAATATCCTCAGGAGTAATGGGGAAATCAAGTCATTCTTGGATGCCCACATTAAAAGAATAGAAAGTTCACAAAGTAAAAAAAAAAACCATATATTAATAGGAGGAATCTTGTAAAATCAGGAAGAAACAACAGTGGAAAGAGCAAAAATATAGGTAGATACAATAGACTCCTTCTGATATTGTTTTCTCAATTATGTTTGACAGTATTAGCAAAAATTATAGCACTCTCTGATGTGGTTCTCAATGTATGTAGAGGAAATGTTTAAAACAACAATATAGATGGGGAAGGGTAAAGGAAGGAAAGGTTTCTACCCCTCCATCAAACTGGTAAAATGTTAACTCAAACAGACTGTGATAAGTTGTGTATGTATAATGTAATACCTCAAACATGCACTAGTAAAGAGAGACACTCAAAAACACTATCGATACATCAAAATGGAATTCAAACAAATCCTCAAGTAACTGACTGGAAGGCAGGAAAAAGAAAACGCAAATGAGAAACAGAGGAAATCATCAGAAAACAAAAAGTAAAATGATGACCTTAAACCCCAACAGATCAAAAATCACATTAAATATAGTTTAAGTAAAATAATTAAAAGACAGAGATTGGCAGAGCGGCTTTGAAAAACATGATCCAATAACATGCTGTGAACAAGAAACCCACTTCAAATATAATGATATAAGGAGGTTGAAAATTAAAAAGTGGAAAAAGATATACCATACATATATTAATTTTTAAAAAGCAGGAATAGCTATATTAATATCAGATAAAGTAAACTTCAGAGCAAAGTCAATTACCAAGGACAGAGAGGAATATTATTACATAATGATAAAAGTATCAATCCACCATGAAGACACAGCAATCCTAAATGTGTATACACTAACCAGTAGGGCTGGAAAATACATGAAGCAAAATATGATAGAACTGAAAGGAGAAATAGACAAATCCATCATTCATCATTCAGCATTTCTGTACTTGGAAAAATAAAACTCATAATGAAATAACTACAACACAGGCAGAATGTTATAAGTGCCAACAAAGATGAATATACAACTGCTAAGAATTTCAGAGGATACATGTTCCTCAGCACACTATTACTGCCAACACAATCACTGTTATAATCACCCCAGCATCACTAAGAGTGATTACTGAGTGTCTAAGTACTTGAGCCACTGTTACAGTCTATACAGAGAGTTGGACAATCACTTCTTCGAACCTATACACATCTTTATGATGGGGCTATTAAGGAAATATTATTATATTCCTAAGTATAATATTATATAATCTATATTATAAATATAATATTAAATATTAAGTCAATAAGCATAACATACACCAAAATG